GGATACCCGCCCAGCAATTTGCAGAAAAAAGAGCCATCCGCACCCGCTGGCGAGTATCCGCCAGCGGATAACGGGTATCCGCGACGGATACCCTTCGACCATCTCTAGTCAAAGGTAGGTTGTCCAATGCACCGTCAACCCAATCAGTTCCAGAATAATGAGATCGCGAGCCAGTCGAGTTGTGTATGATGTCGTCCAAGCGCATTTGGGTAGATTTGAACCTTTCAAGATACTGATTTTGAAAAATTTCATCCAATGCTTGGTTCCGATCCAGCCAACACGGGGAGCCCGACACCGGACACACATACATGCATGTATGTCTGTACATATGTACATACACCTTATTGTTCAAATGTCACTGTATGTGATGACAGCTGCAGGGAAGGAAGCCACAAAAATTTTTTTTGAGCGGACAATTTTTTTTTTTGCGTGCAAAAAGTGCAAGCTTTCTTGGGTATGCTGTACAAACCAGCGTTCAAAAAGATTTCTCCCAGACTGCCCAGTGAGCACCAGCCTGACACGTGCGACTCAATCCTCTTACGCGCCTGGCATTCAAACATCTCATTGCAGCCACCAGCGGCCACCCTCAAGCGGGGCTTGCAGAAAAAGTGCCTGGGCTGAGATACATAGTACACAGGAGTTCAACCATGGCGCGGTGTCTCTGCGACAGAATTTAAGACCCTACACGGCGGGTGCAGGTTGACGACATGAGTACAGCGGGTGTGCTGTACGCGCGACTCGATTTGACCCAGCAGCGGATGACGATGTCGGTACGGGGTGCACGTATTCCGTACTCGTCACGGCGTGTGAGCGGTCAACCAGCGGTTGCTGCTGACGACGCTCCGTGGGTGGAATGTCGGCCTCGTGACCGTGTCGGACATCATGTCCGACACAATGACAAACGCATGTCTGGCCATCGAAGGCCATAACTATGATGACCGACCGTTTTTCGAGATTCAACTGGCCAGGGTTCCATCGGGCATCCTGTGACCACATTGAGACGGTCGTGCTGGTACCGTCTCGAATGGGTCAGAGGCTGACGGGTTCATTTGGGTCAAATGGTGACCGTGCACAAATGGTCATCGGTTGACTGACATCAATCCAGAGTTGGGGTGACCGTTTCAAAATGGTCTCGGGGGGACCTTTTGTAATTAGAGCATGGGATGGCGGACATCTTGTCATTTGCTTGGTTTTTTGACCATTTTTGTCGTTTCCAGCGCGAACGCTGGGCTTCTTCCAAATAATCATGGGTTGCTTTCGGGACCCCAGGACATTTCCTGTGAGGCAATAGAAGATGGAAATGTCAAATTTTCCAAGCCTCAGAGAATTACCATCCCATCTGCAGCGCAACTGGTCAGTCAAGAGGAAAACTCGCAAGCCATGCACACTCTTCCAGGCGGTCTATTTGCAGAGGCATACAGGGGCAGTTTTGAAACAGGAAAGCACAAAAATTGCCCAAATGATAACTCCATGAAGAGGAAAGCTTTCGAACCTGTTGTTACCACTAGCTCCAATGATCAATTGGGATCGTGTTCTCTTGATCATATTAGAAAACCCTCTTTATTAAGATATGATGACATCACTTCCCAAGAACTTGGGGAATTTCTGTGCAAGCCAACCAATCCAGAAAATTGCCAAGTGGCTCATATCAATGCGAATTCCTTAGCAAAACTTCAAAAAGAACATGCTGAGGAACCAGCGACCAATCATCAGGTGTCATCCCCACTACCCTTATACAAACGGCCAAGGTTCAGCAAAATACTATCAACGGGCAAGAGTGAGAATATTGATCACTCCACCCAGTTATTCCCAAAGTCATTCTGTCCCTCAATTGGAAAAAATACTAGAGAAGCTCAGGGATTTTTGGGGGCTTTTGAAAAAACCTGTCACAACTTATATCAAGGGAAAGGTTCTTTTATTGACCTCAGCATAGGTCCAGAATTTCTCATTAAGCAAGAAAAAGATGATCCACTGGATCCACCCCAGTCTATCAACCAAAACAAAACTCCATCATCCAGCCAAAACACTCAGCAATTCACATCAGATCCACAAATAAACTGTGCAACAGGTTCAATGATTTGGCCCATTTCTCCTCCATTTTCTCATTGGGAATTTCAGATACCAACACCTAATTTTGAAAAAGGGGAAAATGTTTGGCAAATGGAAAATTCTATCATGAAGAAACCACTGCAAAAGAATCAAATTCATGGGGAATCTAATTTGTTTGAATACACAAACAAATCCCCAAAAGAGATCAATTTGTCATTGGGAAACAAACATTTTCCAAATCCTTCCAAGATACAAGATGAATTTGACCAATCAAACACAAAAAGTCCTGCTATTTTAAACTCACCACATTTCTCCAGGTTACAAAACCCTGGTGAAACTGTCAAAGCAGAAAGGGTGAATGTAAATAAAGAATCTTTCAAAGTTCTCCCAAACCATTTTTTTACAGCTCCACTAATTAAAGAGGAGCCCCCAATGGCAGAATATGCTCCCCATCCAGGATTCTCAAAGGAGATAAACAGGGCTTCTGCTTCCATGGAAAATATACAACATCCCAAGTTTCCAAGAATTTCCTTTGATAAAAGTATTTTCATAGCTGAAGATGGGCAGGGTGAAAAGCAAACTTACCATGATCTGATCCTAGGTATCATTGAGAAATATTCCAGAGATGGGAAGCTTATCCTAAAACCAAATGAATTTTGGGATGTTTCTAAATCTACAAAGAAAAATAGGACTCAGAAATCTGCAAAGAAAGAACCATCAGTTTCAAGAGTAAATAAATACAGAATTGGCTTTCTGAGGGAAAAACATAAATACTTCTATACAGTAGTAGATACATGGTACAATTATTGGAAAGATCAAGCAGGCATTGATTTCAAGAATAAATATAGAGAAAGAATCCAACTACCAATCTTGCAAGATTAATTCCCAGTATTTTTATTTCATGCTGAAATGATAATTACAATTTTCTACCCAGAAACAAAGCAAATTGAATATAAAGAGTATCTAGAAAGTGCCTTTGAATTCCATGCAAATTTGGCAAAGAAGTATTTGGATGAAGATCATGAGGTAGCAATTGAGACAGACACTAGAGTTGCCAAAAAAAGTAAATTCTATGGGATGGACAGATATGGTCAATTGATTGTTTGGATGTTTTTGGATCCTTGGATCAAAGAATTCTTCCCAGAGATTTGGAATGTGATGTCTAGATATTCAAGGAGAATTAATACAAATTCAAAGGGGGTCATTGAAACTTTTTTCTCATTTTCAATCAAGAAACTGACTGAAATTTATGAAACGTTTTATGTAAAAATTTAATTTGATTGAGTCGGAGCCTTAAAGCTTTAATTTCAGTCTTATTTAATTTTCTTTATTCTGATCATTTCAACATGTGTTTTTAACTTTTGTTGATGATTTCATTTATAATATAACCTTGTAGCCTTCAAGTTCCATCAAGGAATCAGATGATCTTTGTCAGATTTCTTTCCATTTTTGAACTATGTGAATTCCTATTTTTTTCTAAATACTCGAGGACTTCCCATCAACATCTGCAGGTCTCCCAGAGCTGGCATAGAGCCTCAAAATTCAAATTTCTCTGTGAGAATCAAGAATTTTCGGGTCTAGATCTACTTCTGTGAGGGTCTCAGATCCAACGGGAAGTCCTCCACTCCTATGGCTTACTCCAAGAGAATATTCAGATTCCAACTTTGAGTTACATAACCACTTGAAATTTGCCTTATCTGAGTGCTTGTGTCAAATTCTAGGAAACAGTTTGTTTGGTGAGTCTCAGGGTCTTACAAATTGATTTGACAACAGATATGAAATATAGAAATACCTTGTGGCACAAAGCGCTTCAGGCCCTTAGGATTGGAAACTTCATGTTGCAACCTGAGTGTGTTAAACTCAATTGAGCTTCATGTCACATTGGAGGAATTCCCGATGTGGTAAGCCACTCCTGAAAATTCAAAGTTATCAAGAGCAAAAATCACAGAAGAATCACACAATCAAGACACCCCAGAAAGCTCCCCAGACCCCCAAAACCCAATCATGAATCCCCTCAAGCACAGTCCACATGGATAATAATATTTCCCAGAAGATACTCCACAGCCCTGAAACTCATTCCCCTCCAAACAATTCCATTCTTCCTCCCCCTGGTGTCTCACACTAGTAACAATCCCCCTGATCCATGAAACAGTTATTTCCTCCTATTTTCTTCCATGGAATATTCTACCCCTTATTTGTTTCATACTAGTAACCTTGGGAGCATTTGCCCACTGATTGTTTCCCCTGTTTTCTCTGGATAAATATTTTCCCTTGGTTCATACTCTTCATAGAATGTTCCACTTATCTTCCAACTACAAGCTGGCCACTCCCCAGAATTTTGTATATAAGGAGCTTTGTTTTTCCTCTTCATTTGTTCCTCATCAGATCCTGCCCCAGCAATTCAGATAACTGATCACCCATTATTAGCCAGGTATTTGCCCATCAACATTTGGGATACCTTGATCTGTCAACAAAGTATATTTAGACTAGTAAACATAAGACATATTAGACATACCATCCTCAAGAAATCTCCAAAGCCACACCTTTTTCCTTAAGAGTCCATACTCTTATATTTTCTTGTTATCAGAGAGGCAGCCCAATAAAGCACTCATCCCTCTCAAGCTCTATTCCTCCCAAGAGTAGTTCCACACTGACAAATCTGGGACCCTCACAGATGGTGGGTTAGACGCAAAAAGTCTAGATCTTTGCTGGGAAATCTAGCTTTTGAGGCTCTAAATGGAGGACTTTCTGTCATCATTTAGAGTGTTTTTTAGACCCCTCTCAGTTCTAAATCAACACTCTGATTAAAACCACAACTAGCTCACTTGACAGCCATCACAACAAGGCTTGTGAAAAAGATATTATTTTTGCCAAAGATTTAGATTGAAGCAGTGTAAATTAAATTCTGGGAGGGTTCTAAAGTGCAACGGGCAGTCATCAAGCCAATTTAGAGCCTCAGAAATCAAACTTCTCTGCAAGAATCAAGAATTTTTGGCTCTAGGTCGACTTTTGCAACACTCCCAGATCCGACGGGAAGTTCCTCCATTGACCTTTTCAATCTCTCAATCTTTAATATGGGGTTTCACAGTTGAGTGCAAGTGACTTGCAGGACATTTTGCAAATCACTCTCATGTATGGAGATTTTCAAAAATGGCTTTCTACTAGCCACATCTAACCTCATAATGAGTAATGGTAGCTGAACATGCATGCTTTGTTGTACAGATTGACTTGCAAACCCTTTTGCAAGGCATTTGCACCCAGCTCTGAATCCCACTAATGTATCCAATATCTTGTCCACCTTTCCACTGGACCACACGGATTCTATCCAAATTTGATGTGAAATCACTTTGGTTTTGATTAGACGTCCCTCTCTTTCCCTGCTTCATTCTTTTCACTGACCTTGTTATCTCGGCGATAAGAATGAATGAAAAGTTGTCTGTGGCTAGAAGCTGTATGACTATGAAGCTGTTACTCACGGGTTCCCCTGATGGGCGCGTATCCCCCGGGGGGTTTTGCCCATTTAAGCTGAGATGGCAGCTGTGTTGGAAATTGCAATCAAAGTGGTCAACAAGCAACCATGAAAGCAATCCTCAACCCAAGAAACCTACAGACGACCGTCAAGTTCACATCTACTATCCAACGACCATTCTCAATTTCATCGAACCAATATCAAGATGAACAAGTTAAGGTAAGACTTCCGTCCTTGCAGAAAAAAAAAGCAATCGAACTGATTTGGTAAACCTACGGCAGGCCAAAGGAATCACCCCACAGAAGATCTCAATCTTGAAGAGGCAAGCCGTTGCAAATGCCGAAGCCAGCTACGAGAGTTTACCCCCGATGACGAGTGGATTCGATCAACTGTCGATAAAAGAGCCCAAGAGCTTTCTGCGACCGAGGATCCATCTGAGCAGTCTACCTAAGCTGGCTCTCAAGCTGACCAGGCCGGCTAAGGAGACGGAAGCCTATGGGATAAACTTTGGAGTGCTCCCCAGGAGTCAGCCAATGCCCCAGGAGCGGACTGTTCCTGAACAGAAGCCGGTCTCGTTGATCGATCAAGCCCTGAGGTCCCGGCCTACCGAGCCCCAGCTCGCTGAATACCAAGACTCGATTAGTGCTGACCCCTCAGAGGAGACCAAGGCTCGCAAGACGGAGTTCGGCACGTCCAACAACGACCCTTCCTGTCACAACGCCTCTTCCGACCTCCTCGTCGTCTCCCACAAAAAACTTCAAAAACTCGCCGACCTCATCAACCGACATCGGATGTCTGTCGATCAGGCTCTCATCCAGATGCGTTTCAGTCACAAGGCTATTGCCGCGAAGGTACTAGACCTACTCCTCAAGGCTAAACAAGAAGCGATCGAGCGTGGTTTCAAACCCGATCGATTAGTGATCGGTCAGTTCAATTATCCCCCCCCCCACCCCGTCTCATCCCGATCATGGTTTTTGTTTCAACGAAGAAAAGCAGCTGATGTCTGTGCCGGATTCATCTGAAAAAAAAAGCGGAAGCGTGGGTGACCAAGGGTTTTCATACCTCCGAACTACAAGTAAGAGCTCGAGGACGACACGGAAAGATCAGCCATCCGACAGCCAAGTTCAATGTCGTCTTACGCCAGTCAACCGATGCCAACAAGCTAGCCCTCCAACGGAGACTGGCCTTGAAAGAGTCCAACCGCCGGCTCACTCAACGTGGTACGATCGCTGGTAGCCCAATCAGAGTCCCCGCCGATGGTGTGCTGCCTTCATCCGTTGCTCATAGACCTTTCTGGGGATGGTAATCCCACTTCCACTTTCTTTGTCGTTCTTAAATTAGAATTATACTCCTTTTTTGTACTCAATTCATATTCCATTTTGACTTTATAAAGATAAATATACCTATTTTTTGTCTTTATATACAAGTATAAATATCTATCTCTTTGGTGAAAGAGCAAGTTTTTCTAAGCACAACAGGAAAGACGTGTATTGGTCTATTTTACCAACAAGTCATTCTCAGGTCTCTACTTACACTAACTAAGTTATACCTGTCTTGATCCTGCTTGATTGCTGGACTATTCTTGATTATTCCCTGCTCATGTTCAGCTCAGCCTGCCACAGGTTGGATAGCTTGGACCTTTGTGTCTTGTATACCAGGAACAAAGATGAAGATTGGTATTTAAGTTTATCTATGTTCAGGAAGTTCTACTATCTTGTAGCTTCCTAGTAGTCATACCACCTGTTCCGTCCTTTTCCCCATTGCTGATTGCTGTGTAGAATCTTCAGACTCAACCTCTGAGGAAACCATCTGACAGGAGTCTGATTGTATACTTGGTGCTTTGGTCATGGGTGAAATTTTCATTTTTTTTTCCCCTTGTCTTTTTTGAACTCCATTCAAACACTATGAGATGCAGGCCTCAACAGTGCATAATTCATTCAAGGCACATCCTACTTGGTGAAATACCCTCCTGGACAAAGCTTAATGTTCAAAAATGTTGAAGTAGAAGTGTGGTGTTTCTTCTTCTCAATGTGCTTTCCAACCTTCCTCTTCCATGTCACAGATTTGTGACATTTTGCGTGTAGTTACTCTAGGACAGCCAGCCACACATGGAAGGATTCCTTTCTCATCATTTCCACTCTAGTCTGTCCTGGCCCAATTTATTGAAACAAGATGCTGCCTCAGAGTCACACAAACCAAAAATCTTCACAATCTGGCAGCCAGCTCATTGCAAGTCTCAACACCCAAAAAATGACCCAATTGATGGCTGCGGTAAAGGCCTTAATCCTGACCCCAATTATCTAACTAAGTGCCTAATGGCCAGAATGTCTTTTATCAGCTTCAATCTGGCTCTGCTTGCATCTTCTCATTTTTAAAAAAAGTGTATTTTTCTTCAAAGCCTCAAAGAAAAATCCAGCATTAACTGCCTGGAGAACTCCCAATTCAGAAACTCAACAGGTTGAATAATGAAGAAGTCTGTGGACTAATCTTTCAACATTCATTGTAATTGCAAATGCCTGGAATCTTTCATAAATATCTTGCAGCTGGAATTTTTAAGCCAAGGTCCACAATGCAGGGCTTCATTTGTCTTAACATGGACTGCTTCAGTCAGTTATAAAAATTTGGAGATGGGCTCATGGAGGATAAACCTGTTTTTATATTGTTCGGAGCTTGTGTGGTTTGGAGGCATCCCGCGGAGGGCGTCCCTCGGGGTGTGCAGCGGGGTTCCTTCGGGGCAGACAACTGCCAAGTTGTCAAATTTCAATGCAATCGATCAACTTGCACATCAAAAACTTCCCACCTGAAATCAACCTTGAACCAAACCAAGCAGACCAGTATTGGGACCAAGTTGGCCGAAGCATCGAAACAAATAACATCCGAATCTCAATTCCCAATCACAACCAGACACCCAAACTAGACATTCGAGGTTACGGACCAATACTAGCGCAACATACTACGTTCAGAATGGACCCATCCAACTCTCACTCGATGAGCAAAAGCTCGCCGACAGCCTTACGCAGCTTGATTTGGGAAGGATCGATTCCGATTTCCTTCGTACTAGAGCCGAGTGAACTCCCGCCTGGGTCAGATCGAGGGGTTGAGGCGTTTTACGTTGGTGAGATGATCCTGGCTCGATGGTCGAATCCTTTCAGCTCAAGAATATCGTCTTCTTTCCTCTCCTCCATGTTCTTGTAGACTTCGGCTCCCAGGATGTCGTACCTCAGCTTGCTGGTTCCGATCGTCAAGTCCAATCTGATCGGCCTTTGTTTGGATGATAACGCCCTTTTTACACTGAAGGAGGAGAATATCTGGTTTGAGCATGCTCCTAGCAAAGTTGCCCTAAAATGGTTCATTGTTTTTGCTACATGTCACCCACATCCATCGAATTTCTACTAATGACTTGCTTCTTTTTATTTTTGATATCAGGCACTGGCCGATCGGATTAATTTACGATACCCTCCTTGCATCATTACCCGCATCATCGTTGGGACTACCACTTCAAGTGACTGTGCACCTTAACCCTGTCCCAGCTGACAAAGGATTGCTACCAAACGCTGTTTCAGTCTGTAGAGAAGCGTTTATGAGCCAGGTGAGTCGACGTTCTTCAATGCGAAACATTTCTAACATGCGGGAGATTCGCAGTGCTCAATTGATTACACAGGTCAAGGAAGCAGATTTTGTGCGATGGGGAAGCACCCGGAGGGTAACCAACTTAAGACAAAGGGAGGCAGAATCGCTATGGGAAGGATTGGTAGAACGTTTGCTTATTTTTCAAAATCATCTCGGATTCAATCGGGACATCCATCGCTTACAGCTCAATCGCATCTCTGCTGCTCTCTGCAATCACTCATCTTCAATCTATCACAGACGACTTCGACAAGTTTTGGCTCGTCGCCAGTAAACTGATACCCATCCCACCCTCACCATCAAGTCTGCACTCAGCACCTATGACGCCGGCGCAGCCTACAAACTCATCGATTGATCGCATGCCGGACGGAAACGGTGTCCGAAATGTGCCTATGCGAATTTATCTTCCCGATAACATCCCAGTTATGCAAGCTCAATCTGGCCCAGTAGATGAGAACGGCAAGTCAATCAGCAGTGAGACCGTCCAGATCAGTCATAGTAATTTGCATTTGGCTTCCACTTGACCATTTATAGGACGACGAGTTACACTAGGGGCGGCTCTAGCTGACCTCGCACCATCCCTGTTTCCCGAACCATCATCAACATCGAAGCGACGTCTTGCAAGAGCATTTATACAAGGCGTTCAAGTACCCCTAGAGACTGAACTCGGCTGGCTTGGGGCGGTGATGTGTTGTGCTGATGGCTGGGTTGCCGTGGTGATCCATCTGGGTCGGTAAAGTCGAGAGTTCACTTTTTTCCAACCATTACCATTTCTTGTGAACCGCGGTCTTTTGAACATGAGGAAATGACTCAATTTGGCCGCCAATCAAACCTGAGAGAGTCTCAGCCTGTGGGTATGCTATTTCCTCCCTTGTTTACATCAACATCTTTCTCTTCATAACACATCACTCTTTCATTGCATGGTCTTAATATAAATTATCTTAGTAATTTGGGGTAATTATATTCTAAATTTACGTAACTTGCTTGTTCTTTTCATATGTTTATGAAGTTTTATATTTGTTGTAAATCCCGCACTGGTGAACTACCCTACGTCAGTCAAGGTCCCGGGTTGTGCAGTCTCCCCAATTATCATTTTCAGCAGTTTTTTATTATGCAAAAAGAACACCTGTTTTCAGTCTTTAGGAGCCAAAACATCAATTTGGATGACTGTCCGCATGTACAATACCAGGCACCTACAGCTTAAAAGTACAACTGTTAATAGTAGTTGACAAATAATGTTTACCCCATCTCAATTGGGCACAAGGAGATGGTTTTGCTCGATTTGAAATGGTGAAGCCTGAGGTCCTACCAGATGAATTGGTTAATGAGCACACTGTTGATCATCACATCTTGTTTGATCCAAAGTATCACCTTTGAAATTATTCATATTGGCTCAGTCAACTGAACCTCATCAAGCACAACATAGGTTTCATATTATAAAATAAAGCCATACTTCATCAATACAAAAGATCAGAGGAAATTTTGGTGTTTAAGAGGGAAATTTAGATTTTGTCATGATAATTCCATGCAATCAACTCAAGCTTATCACTAATCTCTAAAATTCAGCCTGCAAAAGTTAGTTACATGTATCAACAGTGGGCCGCTACACTAACCATAGCGGTTAGTGTAGCGTAACACAGCGGAATTGCTGTTAGCGCTAAGCGTAGCGTAGCGGGATTCCGCCACGACACCGCTAACGCTACGCGTGTGGGCCGCAAAAAAGGGCCCACTACGCTGTGCTACAGCGCTTTTTAGCGGTTTTTGGCCGCTTTTTCCGCTAAAAGCGCTGTAGCGCAGCGTAGCGTAGCGTAGCGTAGCAAAAAACCACTCAAAAACCGCTAACACTACAGTTTTTTGATGAAATGAAGTGCCGCTACACTACGCTTTTTGGGCCAAAAGCGTAGCGTAGCGTAGCGGCCCACCACTGCATGTATGTGTCATTTGCACACACACTCAGCTGTTATCAGCTTTGACTGGCATGATTGCAGAAGTACAAAAGAGGGAGAATCTTAGCTGAACATGACATTATGACTTTCTTAAAACTGAATTTGATTTTTTTTTCAATCATAGAAGAGTTGATTTGAGGTAAGAGTTGAAACCAGAAGGTTACAATCCAGTTTCAAAACATTCTGAATTGAAACCCAAGTGTCCAGAATGCCAATACAGAGAACTTATAACAGTCTGTACCAGGTTTTTTATGGATAGAAACACATTGGTCAGAATCACCACATTGTATAGTATTTTTTAATTATCTTATCAAAATTTAAAAAAGTAAAAAGGCACAAGGAAATCAAGTGTAATAGTTTTGATTCAATCTGTGGACAATTTTTAAATTTATGAAGAGGATCAAGAGATGAATGTATATGTAATTCTGACATGGATAAAATTAAAACCATTGAAATATATAATCAGGAATTTCTTTTGAATTTCTTTCTTTTTTGATAATTTTATTTCTTGATTTCATTTCAATCAAAGTTTAAAGCATATTTTGAAAAAGATGATCATTGATTTTATTGAACAAAGTTTCAAATTGTGCAGCCATGTATGTCAATTTTTTCTGTCTTTCACGTTCCATTTTGCCTTCTATGAGAAGAAATTGTGGGGATTCATTTGTCAAGGGAATGTGTTTCTTGAGCTCGATCCGGTCTGAAGATCTTTGAAGAGCCTCAAATATTTTGGAAAACTTGTTCATGTGAGAAAATGTCTGGTCATCATCCTTCAGTGAAATCAGATGACCTAGTTCCTCAAGTTCATTTGGCAAAAGATGTAAAAGTTTTTCCCATTCAGCTTCATCCAGTTTTCCAATATTAATGTCTTGGGATAGTTTTTGCGCCAATTTCTCATCAGCTGTGTTTTTGATTGATTTGACCAAGAGTTCTTCAAGTGCCAGGTTTTTGATGATGTTTTTTGTTTTTTGACTCCATAGTAGATGATAATGCTGGTGTCCCATACCATCATAGATCAGTTTTTCATTTGGGTTCAGTTTCCTTTCTCCCTGTTGTGAAACAAGTCTTCTATAGGCCAACCATTCTGGAGTAGGAGGTTCATGAAATGATCCTTGGCTCATTTTGTAATAAACTAAGATCTTGCATCTATCAGAAAATGTAAGATCCCATTGATTGTTTTGACCCTGAATTTCTTTTGAAACTTTCCACAGCCTTGATTCCTGCCAGGGTGTTGAGAATACCACTTCATCAAAGAATTTTGCATGATTGAAATTTGAATTGATGTATTCAAGCTCTGGAGTAGAGTGAAGTACTTCCTTAATTATTTTTGCCTTATCAATTGCCTTTTTGTCAATAAGGGACTGTAATTTCTTCTCAGATGATTCCAACAACTTTTCTCAAACATTGAATTTTGGGTTTCCATTCAACAACTTGCTTCTGATTTTCTCCTGACTGGTATCTAAACCTTTTTCCTCATGAGTTTTTTTAAGCCATCGAAGCACAATCTCCTCCCTTGATTCAACCATCTCTTGACCAACTCCTGAATGTCCCAATTTTTCTTCATTTAATGACATCCATTTAAGTAGAAGTCCCTCTTTGGTTTGAAGTTTTTCTTTAAAATGTCTCCAAGTCATTTTAAAGGCATGCATGTTTGTTGGTTCCCACAGCCGATCTTTCATCCGATAATACTGCTTTGCTAATTGTTTCACCTCTTGCATATCCTCTTCTGTGAACTCATCAATGTGTTCATCTGGATGTAAACTTTTATATTCTTCAGTGTTTTTCATTACTTTCTCGCGAAATATCAGATTCCCTGGAGTTGTTTGGTCCATGGGTTTTGCTTTCAACACATCGTAAGCCTTCTGGTTTCTGAGAATTTCCACAATTTGTTGGAGCTGAAGTTCTTCTTTCCCTACTTTATTAACTTCAGTCTCTAAGGCGTTGATCAACCTATCATCAAATTCCGTCCAGGATTGACCAACTTCCTCTTTCCTACCCAAGTCCTTGAGTGCATCAGTAATCAGTTCCAGATCTTCAAGACTATTTCCACCTCGCCGAACCGGAGGTCCTTCTTGAATCATTTTGAATTTCTGCAAAAGCTCCTGCGACTTCTCTTTTCTTCTTACAGCAACCGGGCGACCAATAATATTTTTTACCAGATTTTGCTCCTTGGCAATGGTGGAAAGCTGAGATGAATCTGCAATTTTTCTTGCTAGTTTTTGTTCTTGCTGACTAATTTCAAACCCGGCTTGTTGGATCCTTTCAAGTTGCAATACCGCCAGCTGTTCATCTGTTACTTCTCTATTTCGAAGCTGAACCCGGATCTTGTGTAATGACAACCTCAGTTGACGCTTTTGCCAATTCGGACGTTTGAAAAAGCGCTCCCAGATGGAGTGAAAGAAAGCCAGAAAACCCTGGTTATTTCTCTTGAATTTGTTGTCTTCCTTCGCTAACTTCCAGAGGTTTTCCAAAATCGATTTTTGCTCGGGTTCAAGTGTATCCCTCAATTCTTTGACCCATTGATACGGCTTGGGGTCTACTTTTTTTCTTTCCAAGATGTTTGCTAACGAGCCTCTCATGATATCTAACCGGGTTTGCTCTTCTGCCCACAGCTTGCGTTCGGGTCCGGTCGGATGAAGAAAATCCCAAGCGTGAAGGTTTGCGGAATCGATTCCGTCCAGGTTCGTCTTTAATCCCTTCAACCGTCTGATGTGCTCCTCTCCGTGTTTACCGGGGAAGAAAACCAACTTGAGTTCATTTTCTTTTAAATCCGACAATTTCTTTTCTTGGTGGCTTCTTTCTAATTTGAAAGATGAAACCCCTTTCTCTTGAGGTTTGTGGAGGCCCTGGTATCTCTCCATCCTGGGTCCTTCTGAAGGTGTAATCAACTCGTGAGGCGCTAGAGTCAGTCCTTTCATTTCATGGCCACCATCGATTATAGCCTCCGTGGACTTTGGGACATTGTACATCGCGAGGTTCTCTAGAAACATGTTGAAGGTGCAAAGAGCTAAGAATATCATCCTATGATATGTTTTGGTGCTATAGAAGAGTAAACGTGGTATTGGCATGTTGGTTGTTCTGAAGAGATGTAGGTGCAGAAAATCTGCAGGACTCTGGGTATTCCAACGGTGGACTCTGGGTATTCCAAAGTTTCCAAGCGAAGAACTTTACCCTTTTATGTATCTCTTATGGCCGAACCAAGAGCAGCTTAGTCTTGCCGAGTCACATACCGCTACACCGAGGTCAGCCGAACTCCGGAACCTGCCTGACCGGCGGTGACGTTAATGTCCAAGCTGTGCAACATACAAACTCCCAAACCGTGCCCTGGGGGGTCGACTTTGCAAGTTTGCTCAGGCAAAGCATAGGAAAAATTATGTAACACAGAAGCCAAGATGCCTTGAGGGAATTTCGAAAATGCAAATGAGGCAATCATCTGTACGTTGATTGGACCTCTTGGGTCACACATTGCGCTCAAAATGAAAAAAGGCTCCCGATGACACAGCGGATGGCATTTGCGGATATCCGGAAGAGCAGTTTGACCACATTGCTGATGATCCGGGCGTGCATGCAGGGCTTAAACAGGGGTTTAGCACCTGGCTTGACCAGTCATGGCATCTCACGAGTTTACCTCGTCAATTCCTCGATGGCTGCGATAACTCGGCACCAAGTGCGCCTGTCGGATGGCGTGACCATCTCCCTGTCCCTTCATGTGAGCTTAGTCGTTTTCCTAAAATTTTCCTCTCAGGCCGTGTGCATCGCAATAAAGTTTTCATCCAGTTGATCCCTTTTGAGTAGCCTCATCCAGCGCCGTTACTTCCAGGACTCGTTATACTTCTACACGGTCGCTTGCATAATTCAACTCGAGGTCCATGTAGCGAGTTGTTTCCTAAAATCTCATATTCAACCTTAACTTATGATGCTCGTGGAATGGGTGAAAGTAGTGGAACCACTGGGTGGTGCAACATTGAGGTGAGTCTCCTGGACCCAAGATATTATTTTTAGATGGCAGTCTTCTTACCCTGAGTCGTCATTCTCAAAGCAAGAGGTGGAAGATTTAAAGGAGATTATCAGTCATATCAAAAGCACATTCAGCCCACCCCTTAATCAAGTGATCGCCATCATTGGGCACTCGAAAGGCGCAGCAGTTGGTTTTCGATGGGCATCCCTGAAGGAACTACACAAAGATATCAGTCAACCGCACCTGTACGACCAGGTTGATCGACCACCACTTCTGATTTCGCTGTCAGCTCGCTACGATACCTCCGACGTTGGGCTTTCGCGTTTTAATCAAGAACAGCAAGCGAAGTTGGAAAACGACGGAAAGTTCGTATGGCTAAGCTATCGAGCCGGCCGTGATTTTACCGAGCGGAGAGATTACGTTGTAACGCTAGAGGACGTCGAAAAGGCCAAGGGCGTCTCATTAGAATGCGTCAAAGATGTCAGAGAGAACTCCCAAGTCGTCTTGTTTCATGGCCGCGCAGATGGGACGGTGGCCGTTCACCATTCACATAAGCTTGATCAACAACTTCGAGACACCAACCCGAGCACAAGTGTCGATTTGGTTTTAGTCGAAGGCGCAAAACATAATTGGGATCAGGATGGCGAAATCGAGATGCTGGTCGAGTGGATTGACACATGGATCAAACGTCGAGCAGGGCGAGATTCAACCAGGATTCCTGCTGATAAAATCATAGATCACCTTGGCCCTCAGAGGTAGACTCGGAGGATTCTTATTCTCTTGACAGTTCAATTTTTGGGTAGTTTTTGCACAGTCTCAACGATAATTGAAAAGAGATTACTAGAAATGTTTTTAGGTACCTGTGTCAACAAAATGTATTGAAATGATTGAAGTATGAAAGCCGCAGCTTCGCCCGGGGTACCTGGCAAAAACACTTGAACTTTTGAAGTTGATGGTCAATGCGAGTTTGTTCAAAGGTTAACAAAGACCTCTTCGAAGAGGATCTCACAGGGTCACTGCCTCACAGGAGAGAAGGTGGCAGTGAAAAAACTCACTACTGGCCCCAAAGGTCCAGCTTGTTAAGATTAACTGCCAACTCGCTTTTTCCCAGATACTTACATCAATGAGGAAAGAATAACCAAACATTCACAACTTCATAGCATTCTCAGGATAATGTATCTACAGTACCGTTGGACAGGAAGATTTCAAACGGTGAAGCAAGCGTGGCGATAACCGATATGCAAATGTTTTCTTATCTTGACAAGTACCGTCTGTGATTGGGCTGTTTGAATTGATGTTTGGCAATATTTTATAACTGGTTTGATTATCTCCCCCAAGTGGAAGGATGTGTAGGCGCATTGTCCACAATTGCTTCGATTTCTTCCTTGATCTCAGGTGTTAATTTATCGATGATCTATAAAGAAGCAAATTGAATCATCAGGTGAGAACAGGCGGATCATGAGCCAGAACAACAAGGATAAGGTGCGGATACTAACTTTCAATGCCCCAAAGTTCTCTCTTAACTGTTCCGGTTTTGTCGCGCCGAGGATAACGGTACTGACACGCTTATTACTTGCAGCCCAGGCCAAGGCTAATTGTCCGACGGTGCAGCCAAGCTTATCCTCAGCTAACTGAGTCAATTTCTTAACCTTCTCGATTTCCAGTCGGCCTTCTTCCGTCTGCAACCCGGCCACCAAGTGCTTGAGGTACTCTTTGTTGACCTCGAGTCGCGACCCAGCCGGGATCCCGTCATTGTATTTTCCTGTTGGATGACAATGGAACCCGCCAACGAATCCCCATCCGTCAATTGACCCCTTACTTTAAGCTCTCAACTGACTGCTCCAAGCGTTCACTCAGTCACGTACCTGTCAGGAGTCCGCCCTTCAATGGAGACCAAATCGTCGACCCATCTGGTCCAATCACGACAGTCAAACCATCAGCTTTTCCTTCCTTCCATGACTTTCCTTTTGAGCTTGGACCACACCCAATAAAGAAACCCTTTTTGCATAAGAATAGCTACAAATCCTAACTCACATCCCAAATTTTTGAAGATTGGTTCGTATTCGACTTCAAACCGTTCCCTGTGAAGCACTTGTAATTCAACGAAAGAACACCATCAATTTGACGGAGTGATTGTAAATCCTTTGAAAAAGCAATCTTGAGACGCACAAGAGTACTGAGGTTGCTCAACCATTGGAGGTATCAAGAGGTTTGTCCCAGCGACAGTGACAGCTTCTTGTATTTGCTGAGCGCTCCATTCGCTGGTACCCCAGTACAAAGCATGGCCATTCCTGACGAGGTAATCAAATGCCCAGACAGTCTCGAATATGGGGACGGTAGGGTCGGGTCGATGGGCATGCACCACATCGACGTAGCGAAGTTGGAGCCGCTTCAACGAAGCCATGAGGCCCTCGATGATATGCTTCCGCGAAAGGCCCCGCGCATTGGGCTCCTGTGAAGTCCCGGTGCCGAAAAATATCTTGGTGGCCACCATGAACTCGCTCCGCTCCCAACCTAGCTCTTTGAGAGCCTTGCCCAACTCGGTCTCCGACTTGCCATTCGCATAGCCCTCCGCAGTGTCAAAGTAATCTTTATGATTCCCACACAAGGTGGACAATCGGCAATTGTTAATTAAGATCTATCTCAGATAGCTATGTATGCATCAGTGGGTAAGACTTACTGCAACCCTGTAGTGAGGATTTTTTTTGATGGGTCCATCAAATAGGGTCAGTTTGCCTCATCAAGAATGCGCCTCTAAGCATTCATAAAAATCACAACACAGACATGATCCCAAGCAATCTGCAAGAGCTCTTTAACGGCAGCGCCGGTGGCCACCGAGCCTACACTCAACGCGCCGCCATCTACCGTCAAGGTGAGAGAATTCCCCGAAGCAAAACCAGCAGGATCAGACCAAGCGGAAATGCCCATCCGCTCGGAGCAAGCTACTCAATCGAACCCGCACTTACAAGAGAAGATTGGCACACGCAGGCCCCAATGGCCCAGTTGGTTGAATTTCATGTCCTTGATTCTATGGATGAAAAAAGCACATGTATCCAATCTTTGCCTAGCCGAGCGAAAAAAAAAACACATCGAGGAAGCCAAGAAAAGAACTCGGCGACTCACTGATATTTTGGAGGAGGCATGATCGATCTGCTGTCAGCTCCATGATTTAATCCTTTCAAAAGGCCTTCCCCAAAAACTTGCGGGGTAGCGGCTGCCTCGGTAACTAGACTGTTGACTGGGGTCATAGCAGACGTAGTTTGATCAAATATCATTATAAATAATGACAATTGCCGAACGGTGTTACGATTATAGCTGAACATTTCTTCTCCCAATTGTCGTGAATGTGCGTCTAGTGAGATGTTGAAATATGAAATCTAAAGGTGATATTTACAATGGGCAGTGAAGCAGTCATCAGACTGAGGCCTCTTTAATGCATTCATTGCCGGTAGAAAGAGCATTAAAGTCTTGACAGCTCTCGAAACCAATCGACTTATTGAAAATTGATTGTGCCCCAGCCTGTCCCAGCTTGCGATAAGCCAACTTGACCTAGTCAACCATGTCAGATCTACAAAAAAAGTGTATCAATATTAACATGGATTGATTCAACTACACCGATCGGATGTAATTTGAGCCAGCTCAACAAAGCCTCTGGTGTGTGAGCCCCGCAGGGTTTTTGTCTCCCTGGGCTTCCCTGGGGTCGGGACCGATGCCGCGGACAGGAGACAACAGGAAGTTACGCTAAGTCCGGATGTAGCCCCACCTACAATGAGACACATAGTGTGATTGAATTAGAGCGTGTACACTACGGAAACAACTGTCAGGTTGAAATTTGAAGAAAGGAGAAGAAAAAAAAAGAAGTTGCACTACCTGGATTTTTTCTAATAGCTTGGTAAAAATCAAAGCCCCAACCCACGACTTCAAGCTCAAGTGAATCAGATGTTCAGTTTTTCATCCAATATCAATCCCGTCGAAGTATTGCGGGGTTGAGGGGATTCAAACCTTACTTTTTGACAGATTTTTGATGGAGAACCCAGTGTTTCAACATCTCCCAATCAACTTTCATTGAATTTTCAACAGATTCTGGACAAAGAAACCACAATCTTTGAGTCCCATATCGGAAAATTTACAGCATCTCCAATCAATTGGAACAACGACAGCCATCTCCAGCACTGATACATTATTTCAAACCTGTCCCACTTGTTGCTTGCACAACAGGACTTGCATCTGCATCCAGTGAGCCACTGAGCTTGATTGACCAAGCTCTGGAGGGGTTGACTCTTGAGATGTAGCCAAGCTTCATCAACTTCAACCCTCATAAAGTCAGCTCCAAACACCATACAGCCTCTAAAATCTTCTATTTTCAGAAAGGGTTTCACCTCTGCATCGTCTTTTTTTGTATTTTATCTGCTCTAATCAAATGCTATGGGCCTATCCACAGCTTCTACTTGAACATCCATACCAAGCAGATTTTGGCCAAATTCCATGAGATATTCATTATTGCCCAAACTATAAAATCACCCCCCCCCCTTGTTGAATACTCCCACATTATGAATTGTTTTAACATCTGAATAATTCCTGCTCATCTCCATGTTCCTGTCGATGCTTTCCTGGCATGGAAGAGCAATTCCACAGAGTTCTAGTTAGGATAGTGAACTGTGCAGATGAATGTGTATTCAATTAAGGCACCAATGAGATTGCAAAGTTTAGGGATGAAACGTAAGCTGCTATAAAAAAAGAATCAAGAGGACAAACTCCCATGAGGCCATCACATTGAGACTCAAAATGAGGATGATTCTGCTTGATGAGATGGAAAATTTCTCCCTGATTGAGAGTGAGAAACCTGATAGCTTTTGTTGGTGTGTGGGGTGGGAAAACTCCACATTTGGAGTATGAGGAGGATACAAGCCGGGTGGGCAGGAGCAATACACAAACATTGATTCTCCCTCATAACAGCTTTCCCTCACTCAACCAAGGCCTTTGTTGAACAAAAGAGGGTGCAGCCACATGGTGATTGGCCACATTTTTTCAATTTATTAGTGGCAGAACAACACTTTTTTGAGCCTAAATTATATACTGTAGTGTTATCAGCTTTTTGATGCACTATGTGGTGGAAACTTTGTTGCAAACCCACATCCTAGCCACTGTACATTTATCCACCCTTCCTCCCTGATCAATGACAAAAATGGAGAAGCTTTGGCATCAAGAGGCACCATGGCAACATTAATACAATAAAGAATTGAATAAGAAAGACCCTTAGAGCATCCACATTGTTTGATTGGATAAGTGAGGATTAGCAAACTTTTTAATCCCAGGTGGCAGGATTAGTGGGATATAAATTTAGGGGGTTGGAAAAACGACTCCCAAAAATTTGACGACGACTCCCATTTTGGTCAAGGGGTCGTCGGACGGGAGTCGTCTTTCCAATTCCCCCTGGGGGACCCCAAATTTAATCCCTGTTAGCTCCAAAACTGACCCTGGAGCTAACTTCATCCAATTTTTAATCTCAACTGGTATGTTTAGGAGGATTAGATTAGGAAGCTAATCCTGCCTAATCCACACACCAATGCGGATACTCTAAATTGATTTACTAATCTCAAGGTTGGCTTTCTTTTATATCATGAAATTATTGACTAAATGGGTTTCTTTCCCTCTGCAATACCACTATGTTGCCCCAAAGGGTTGCAGCGTTATTATTAGGCTTGCTGAAGGATGTCAATATCTGTAGTATGACTTACCCTCCAACACTCACAGAAAATTCATAGCTTAGGCATAAGACTTCAGGGGGGTTAACATAGGGTGGATATCAGGACAGTTCTACAGACAATCAGAAAACCTATGAGTTGACATTTGGGTGTGTGAAATGCCAAATTTACCCATCAATAAAAAACCTCTCACAACCACATCAGAATGCAATACCCCCCTATGTGAGTAGGGCTGATAAACTGGCTATCAGTCTGTCTCAATGGCTCTCCTGAATCTTATCAAATGATTTTCCCTGAATTTATGCCTCAAATTAGAGCTTTAATTCTAAGGCCCCGTTTGGCTTCAAATCATGATTTGTGATTTGGCTAGGGTTTGGCGCGGATTTGGACCGTGCGATATAAAACGATATGAAATTTTTGCACAAACTCTTGCCAAATCTTGACTCACAATTACAAATTATGGACGGCCAAACAGGGCCTAAATACACTAAAATAAGCTAGAAAATTAAATTGATTGGCTCTCAGAAGAAAATATTCCAAAACTGATTGAAGGGAGAATAATCAGAAACAATAAAACAAGGAGCATGAATTATTGCAGAGTGAGATCTTGTAAATTCTTCTGGGCAAAACCTGTCAATCTTCAAACAATAATAATAATAATAACTTGAAAGATGTGTCCACCAGTCTGGTGGGCAGAAAAAAAATGAACCCCCCAACTTTCCAACACCCTGTGACTCATACCAACTTAATGAAAAAAAAAAAAACAGGAAAATCATGGGTTTTTTTTTTGCAGCCTTGCAGAAGGAAACTTTGTATCTTTACTTGAATCAAACACTAATCTTTCCACACAGTCCAATATGGAGGGGTCACTTGCCCCCAAATACCTTTTCCAAAAGATTAATATGTTGTCTTTTTAGCAATCCAATGCACGTAAACTAGAAAATCTGACCTAATGCATGATCCAGCTCAATTGGTGAAATCTTTTATTTTTATGTTTGTTGAATACAAAACTTGGAAGAAGTCAAAAAAGATTAGCAAACTGGGTCATGAGAAACAGAGGAAGAATGAACCCATGAAATCTGAAAGTTGGATGGATAACCAGTAGAACCTTGATTGATGAGATGATGTTGACTGTTTGATTAGATTGTTCATTCATTTTGTTGTTCAGAAATGCAATCAAAAAAAAAATCTTTCTATCATACCCATTGAAACATCAGCTTGTGAAACTGTCCTCTGTATAGAAAACACTTGTCATTACCCATTCAACAAACTGACCTTGTGACAGTACTTCAAAAAAGATTACTTGGTAAATTGACCATTGGGAAATTATTCCAGGAGAGTGATGATCAGGGTTCTGGCTAAAGAAGAATTGGCAATCAGAGTGATTCAGGTTTTTGTCATTTTACTCTCAGTAATTCAGGCGCTTCAACTACTGGTATATCTTCACTTATCCTGTTGTATAATTTCTTGATGTCTCTAACTTGGAAGGGTATCTATTTTCAATTGTTGTCTGTGATTTTTGCAAGCAGCAGTTTACCTGCCCTCTAAATGATGCACCTAGAGCATCAATTTTTTTTTTTTTGAAAAAAAAAAACAAGCAGCAGCAGACGCAGACGCAGTAATGGTGCCTGGGTTTGATCAAGTTGTCATAAGCTCTCCTTTCCAAGTTGAGAGTTGCTCAGCTGTAAGGGATGTCATTCTCGATTAAATGTTCAATGATAAGGCCCCCAACGGTGGTGCTTGCGATAGCATTATACTTTCTTTGGATGAATTGGCTGGAGTTGCTGCTGGTCAAACCGATCAAGCTGAAGCAAGACCTCACTTGATCTGTAGCGGTAGTGTGGGCATGACCGCGTCGTCTGCACACATGCCTTGAACTCAAACCGGTCCAAGTTTGTATGGAAGCCAGTACGAGCACTTCGACGGAAAGGGTTCTCACCTCTGTTACGTCATCATCCAGCACACGTACAGCAACCCCGACAGTTGTTTCCACTCAACAATCGAGAAGGCCGGCACATTTATTAGGGTGCGACTGACCATATAAAAGACTTTCGACAGTCTACACATAACTTCTCATCCTCGATATCCCTCCTCAATCTTCATCTGGTTCCCTCACATCCAAATATCTCATCGATCGTTCACCTTACCCAGCTTCTTGCTAGTCGCACATTCCGAAAAGCTTATCATGGAGAGCAAGACGCAAGTAGTATCCGAGTCGTCTGCCCCTACCGGCGAGATCGTCCAAAAGAATGCTAAAAAGTTCAAGTTCATCCCCCCACCGACGTTTGACAACAAAGAGGAAGAGCGCAAGTACAAGCTCGGCAAACTTGCTGCTGCCTTCAGAATCTTCGCACATGTGAGAGGTGTAACATTCCATCTTTTGGGACTTGGATTGGACTTGACTGACCCTTCCAAATCACATCGTTCGCTAGCATGGCTTTGATGAAGGCGTGGCCGGTCATTTGACGCTGAGAGATCCGATCCTTACCGATCACTTCTGGTGAGCATTTGTTGCCTCATGTCTTGACCCCGGTCAGATCTCACAGCTAACGTCAAGTGGTACATCTTTTGTGCTGCCAACTATCTATCTAAAGGGTTAACCCTTTCGGTCGTGCATTTTCTCAGATGACTGTTTCCGACTTGTTACTCATCAATCCTCAAGGTGAAATTGTGATGGGTGGTAAACCGGACCGCCAGATTTACAACGAGGTGCGTCATGTTCTCTTTCGTACTACAAGCTACTACTAAATACTTCGCCCCTCGCTTAACTTCATATACCCTCGCTTACAACAGGCAGCATATGCGATCCAGTAAGAGCAACTCTCGCTACTGCTCGATCTCTTTGGAGTCTGGAAAGATTATACTCATTCCTCACTTTTCAGCCATGCCATCCATACCGCTCGCCCTGATGTCGAGGCGGCTTGTCACAGCCATAGTGTTTATGGACGTGCATTCTCTACACTTGGTATTGAGTTCGTTAAACTCCCCTAATTCGTCTTCATCCATGTGTCATCAGAAGACTCATACTTTCCTTCAGCCTGGACATCACCACTCAGGATGCTTGCGCATTCTACAACGATTTGGCGGTGTATCGCGGCTTCGGAGGGGTTGTCTTGGCCTCTGAAGAGGGCGACAACATTGCCAGTTAGTTTTCCCGTCTCCCTAGTTCAGATGAAGTTTTTCCATGTTGCTTGACCAATATTCATCTGTAGAGGCGCTTGGTCAAAAGAAGGCTGTTATCTTGCAAAACGTAATGTTACTTCTTCTAACCATTCGTTTGATTCCATACGACGACTACATTCTCACTGATTCTCTTTTTTTTGGTTGGACTGCAAATAGCATGGTTTGTTGACCACAAGCACCAGCATTGAAGCTGCTGTATGGTGGTTCATCTCCCTCGAAAGTCTGTGCAGGATCCAGCTCTTGGCTGATGCAGCCGCTGGCGGGCGAGGGATTAAGACCATTCAAGCAGGCGAAAAGGAAGCTGCATTTACCTATCAAGCCGTTGGTGCGTATAACCATTTTCCCCCGGGATCCCCAGATGACTCATGAATCTTCTTACCCGATTGAAACAGGCTCTCACATGGCAGGCTGGGCTCAAGCCCAACCCTACTTTGATCAAATCCATGAGAAAACTGGCGGTGCTTATCTCCAATAGCTGCTTTTTGCAACTATTTCTCTAAAAGGTCGAGAATGAATTTTGTTTTCATTTTTTTGAGCGAGTCAGCCAATGTACAAACACGATGAGTACATAACCGAGGGTTTTCCTTGTCGATACCCTCATGCTTTGATAGTTTCAAGATCTAGTATTCCAAATGAGAATCAAATTATCAATAATTACCATTGAGAATTGATCTTGGGAAATAGATCTGTCGAAACCTGAATGTTTATAAAAGCTTGCCGACCATCACTTCTTCGATGAAATGGCCTACTGGTCGACTCAGTGTTAATGATAATTCTTGTCTGCCGCTTCTGCAACAAAGATAATATACACCCTTAGTACAGGAGTGATTACCCGTCGATTTCTAGGGGGGAGCACATAATAATTGCTTGAGAAATTTGGTAGTGCTTGAAAACCCAATTTTATACAAGTTGTAAGGCTGGAAATGAAAAATGGAAGCGAAGTAAACAATTTAACGCAATAATGTAGTTGAAATGAGCAGTGTGAGTTGGTAGGTGCTTGAACCTAGAGTAAAGGCCTCGAGTCCATATCCATGCTGTTCAAGGTAGCATATTCGCTATTGAGTATTGCGTGCCTCGCTCTTCGCAACCGGGCCGTAAACCTGGTAGTGCCATGAACAATCGATTTCCTTGAGCACAGTTGTTAAGGCCATCATGGGCATCGCAACGAACCAACTTGGCTTTGAAGACATTTTTCGGCCTCAGCCGGCTCGTTTCTCTCTTTTATCCACCATCGCCTCCCAGTTCCACATGTTGCCTTCGCCTCATTGTTCCACCGCAGGCAAATGACCAAGCGCCTGGCCGGCGGCAGGCTTCTCTTGACAAGCTCTGTGGCCTGGTGTTGAGTACAAGGCCTTTCCTCTTCATGACAAGGCTTGTTGACCTCTTAGTCAAGGCTACCTTGTCCCCTCGTATCTATCCCTTGGACTCTTGACTGTTTGTTTAGTATAGGTTTCTTGGTACCTCGCACTCCCAATAATCAGCAAAAGCCGGAGATCAGCTCAGCCTCGACCGAAATCCAGCTCCGTATTGAAAATTTTCAAATTTCAGCCTACTTCAAAAGCCTCAATCAGTGCCATCCAAACCCCTGTGACCTGCGGCCCTTCCCATTCGAAATCAAAGGTTTTCAACATTTCAAGAAATTGATCAGTAGTCTCCATCTGGGGCTATCAGGTTTATCAAAACTTCTCAGTGACCGGTTCACCTAGAAGCTTTTCATCGGATTATCTCACAAGTATCACCATCAATCAATTTTCTGGCCACATCCTCAGGATCGTTCACATATCCTCTGTGCAGTCTGGAGCCCTCAGCAGTGTCTAAAGGCACCTCTGTGCATAGAAATTGAAAGTTCTGAGAAATAGCCGAAAATGATTTCTTCTCGCAATCCACTCTCTCGTCTGACGCTTCGAACATTATTCCTCTTCAACCTTTCAATTCACCTCGCCTTCTCTACACGGATGCCGTTTGGTCCTATGTCAGAGCTTACTGGCTCTGCTGCGATCATTGACAAAATACTCTCTCCTGGAAATCCGAGGAATCCTGCACCCTCTTCAACCTCAGGTAAGCTCAGAGCCAGGGATAAGAGATTCTAAAATTATTCACCGGTATTAAGGGTCAATTTCTTCCTCTTTGAATCGATTTTTTTTTTCTAATACACCAGTCCCGACTAAGACCACCAACTCCACGACAACTAGGAAGTCGAATAAGGATGGATCGATGCCTGATTACTACGGCTCAACATGTTCAATTTCCTTCACGAGGAGATCTAACAATCAGCCTCGAAGTCTGCAAGAAAGGATTTCTAGGCGCGCTCTAGATCCCTCAAGAGAGGATGAACGAAGTGCTTTGTTTTTGACTGAAGCTGCTGAGAAATGCGTGGACTCATCAAGAACATGGGGTGCGACTGCAGGGTATCCTTTGGGGGGTGCGTACCTCGTCGTCACAAATAATCAGTTGATTGCCTTTACTAACCGCGCAGTTTGATCAATTTGCTTCTTTATCTTAGTGGGTGTCTGTTATTCCGTCGGTTACATCGATGAGCCAAAATCAACTGTTGGTGGACAAATCAATGTCTTCAGACTTGGAACAGTTTCTGAATTGAGTAGAATCAGCGGAATGGATGCCGATGAGCTGGAAGAAAGCACCCGGCTTGAACTCTCTTTCTTATCGCAAAACGCACCGAGCGGCTCTGCAGAATATTCCAAGTCAAGTATTGAAGGCGCCTTGCGTTTCTCCCAGGCGCCATGGGCCCCTTTTGATGATCCTCAGCATCTCATAAATCCTACGAATCCACAGTTCACTGCGTCCTACGGGGATACAGAAATGGTACTTATCGGGTCCTTTCATTTGAACTTGATGGATGCTTATGTTCCCAAGGCCTCAAGAATCAGGAAGCGCGATAATGTTGACCGTGTGTCGGCCTTGAGCCCATCTGGTGCCAGACTTGTCCGCCGAGAGACACCAATCCTAGAGTCGCATTTCTTTGATCTCAGCGATCATCCCACAAAACGATCACCGCTCGCTGGAACACATCCATGGGGGTTATTCAAGCGACAAGCAGTGGCTCCAAGTAAGTGATTTTTCTTCCGAATGTTGATTCACACGATTCAAACATGTATCTCCAACTGACCTTCCACTTCATCCGTCTCAGTTTCATCGGATTCAGAATTCAGCTCTGATACCGCTTGCTCGGATGCTGGCCTGTCTGCGAACAGCTTTTTCTCTGGTGACGGAAAAGAAGCCCTACCCCCTATTGAAGACCGACGCAAGTCCTTCGTGTCTCCATCCACAACAGCCCCTCTCATTCCCCCATCCCCCTTTTTATCCCCAGCTCAACGGGAGGCCAACGCAACTTACGCGGTGCCTTCAACATTCATGGCAGCAAAGTAAGCTAAAAATAGCTCACTAATCTGGAATGATATCGTGCTTAACATGCCTCTATCTCGCCTTTTCTTTTCTTCTTAGCTCTCTCCTTGCGGCATCAGGAATCAACTTCAATGTAACCGCATACCAGTTGCCTGGTCGATATTTGATGGTCCTTCCAGTCGGGCTCATTATCTACGGTGCATTATCCCTCATCGGCTTTCTCGTAAGTAGCTTTATCAATGTCAAGTCTTATGGGTAGAATGAATGATCAATTGGCTGATGTATCTGAACCCCCCGATCTGTGACGGATATCTCTAGACGGTGATGGCCGTGACCTATGAACGCAAACAGTATCGAGATCAGTTTCGCAAGCGGAAGAAAGAGCAGCAGGGCCTTCCCTCCGGCGACTTTGATAACTTCTCCGATAGACGGGTCTAGACCGTCGCAGTCCAAATATCAGATCATCAGCAAGTCTTCATCAATATCTTCTCAGCTCTCTCGGCCTTTGTCCAAAGTCTGCAACAAAAGACATTCCCCTCTTGATGTTCATTCTGATTCGATCTCCCATACAATCTTCTTCTCCACTTATCATTATTAATACACCCATTTTATAAGTCTTGCAATTGGTTGTACATTAATACCCCATGTATAACTGCTGGGTCAATTTTTTTTTGTTTTTATAAAGAAGCAGGTTTAGACAGTTTGATCAAAAAATAAATAAATTGTATTTTGACTTTTTTTAAACATTTGACCATCTAATAATACATACCACATTTTGCTAATTCCCTGATCCTGATCCTGCATTTCATCTGTTGATTCTTTTTTTTGATTTGGGACATGAGGGATTTAGAATCAAAGGGGTTTAGCCAATTGCCAGCTCCCTTGCTTATAAATGTGCTCTGGTTCCTTTGAAACCCTTATGCAATTCTTGTAAATATTTTATCAAATTATCTTTTCTGGAGTATTTTGACTACAGAACTGTTCTCTTCTTATATTCCACATCTCACATTTCTCAATTAATCAATTGACTGATTTCTTTCTGTGGTTCAAACTTATTATGGACCCCTCTGGCTGAATTCTGAAGGTTGATGGTAGCCATTGAAATGAGCATTGTGACAATCCAAAAGTATGTTCCAAGTTAAGTGTGGAACAACACCAGAGTGAAAAAAAAAACATATTTTCCTTCTCTTTACAATTACCTACATCCACTAAGTCCCAATATTAGAGCTCATTTTTAAGACTTTGGTGGAAGATGAGCTGTACAGTGTACACCCAAAGAACATCTTGCCATTTTTTAAAAAAAGAATTGGTATTCATTTGTACCTAAAATATTGACCAAGTTCTTCAAGGACCTTTTCAAGCTATCAGCTGTAGGCTCATAGAGTCAAACAACCTGCCATCCAATCTAACACCAGCGTCAACCCCCAATTCACATTGGTCAATGCTGGTGTTAGACCACCAGGACAGGTATCTAACTCTGCAAGCTAAAACCCCCAGAAGGCCATTGAGTAACCCTGCCCAACATTTGGGGCAAATTATATGGTCACCGAGTCAAACTTCCCAAAATTGGGGGCAAATACTAGCTTAGTATGTAAATCATCAGAGGAATTCTTGTGGCCTCTAAATGAAACTATGATTTCTACAATATTGCACTTGGATAAACAACAAACCTTGCAAGTTGCAAGACCATCAGGTTCAAGAAACAATTTTGGTGACATGCATATAGGAAAAAAAAACATACATTTTATGAGTCACTCAAATTGATGTCAAGGTTTGCATGGACCTCAACAAGATAAAAGAAAGTATACATATGCACCTACTTGCACTCTGATTCTTCAGTCTCATCCCAAAGAGAAAATTAAAAAAATGGTCTCGTCTTTGTTTTGGAATCAAAGAACTGGCAGAGCTGGGTATGGAGGGCTTGCTTGCTCATGGGTCTAGGTGGATAGGGCAGGGTTTTTTACTTTTCAAAAAAACCAACATACATAGGAGAAGACTGAGATGATTCATTTCTGATCAGTTTGGTCATGCATAGTATGGTCTTGCAAGCCCGTCTGGGCACAATCTCAAGTCCCGCGTGGCCGAGTGCCACCAGGGGTTTAGATTGTGCCCAGAGGGCTTGATCGGACAGGATGGGCGGGGGGCAGGACTTGGCACATAGCCAAGTCCCGCTGGGCCGATTTCAAGCCCTGGGCCGATTGGTAGCCTGTGCACCAGCCCGGCACTGGACCCCGGCTCAGCAGATGGCCTTCTCGGGGGCCGGCATGTTGGCGGGCGTAGCACCCTCGCTTGATTTCGGCCAAGCGAGGCTTTGTCCCGACCCCCGCCAACTTTAGCATGTGCCAATCGGGGGTTGGGATGGTGCCACGCAGGCTTTGGGATCGGCCAAGCGGGCTTTGGGATTGGCCCAGCGCGCTTGGCCTTTTTTTGACCAAACTTTGGTGTGTGCCCAGACGGGCTTGCAACACCATATAATCACATGTTACTGTCACCCCTGCGGGAGTGGTCTTGAGGGTGCTTCATCAAGTGTGGCAGTTTACATACACTTATCAGAGCCTGCCTGTCAATTAGGGTTTTACGTACATCGCATACATGCAGCTCCTATTTCTTGTTGGCGGGTCGCGTGTCCAGCGGGGCGGCGTGAAGGGGGGTTGAGACGCGAGACGCGTCTAAGGTGAGCTCGTTTCAGAGTTGGATGGACTCCTTTCTTGAGAAGAAAGAAAATCCCCTTCTTGACAGCTTTGTTAGACTAGCTGGGACTAGGGCGTTCTTTTGAAGCCTGCCAAACAGCAGTTGTTCCTGTCCAGCATCACAAAATCGAACCCAAGCCACTTCCCCCCCAGTACTCGGAGGAGACCTGAATTTAAGGACGTTCGAACAAGAAGCTGTAGAGAAGAAAAACTTTATCATCCGACTCTACGTATTTTGACTTTGAATGGTAAGCTTCGCTAGCAAGTCAGATCGAATCAAAAATAATCATCATTCCATTCTCAGGAACCACCCATTTGTTTTTAGAGATTCTACTGATTCCCTCCCGATTCAACAGCCCATACATAGTTACACAGTCAAGTCATCCCATTCCCAGCTCCCATCAACCACTCCCATTAACCCAGCCACTCCATCCTGCCCTCGGCCTTCTTCCCCTGCCATCGATCACCCCCGCACTCAGCTCGGAGAATCCTCAAACCGGGTTCATCTCCTATCGATCGCGAATAACACGTTGGCCTCATCGTCGTCAGTCCTTCTTCCAAGCTAGTTCACGCGCAACCTCTCGGCGATCTTCAATCTTCATCTGTTTTCAATATTTTTTGCTGAATTTTCGTTTCACGATCGGATTCATCCCGTCGTACTTCAACATCAACTCGCTTTGATTTTGATTTTTCAGGGCAGCTTCTCTTGTTTCTGAAGAATCAACAAAACATTTCGATACCCAGGATTCCGCTGTAGCATTGACCAGCTCTCTTAGCAGCCAGCCTTTGAGATAATATCAAATAAAGTTGTGCGTCTTAATCTCACTTTGGCCATGCACTTGGTTCTTCTAGTCGTTCAACTTCCAGTGACACTCGGCTCAGATGCTTCACCACTCCCGTGTCTTTCAACTCAGATACACTCACTTGCCCAAGCATTTAACGGATCACCGCCACCCTTGAATTCAGTGTCTCGCATCCCTGCGCATAGTCACTGCCTCCAAGTCCTCGATCAACTTTTCCACTAGCCTCCCGTTGGTGGCCCTTATTGGATGCGTACCTGCAATCCATCAGTTGTCAACAAGTCTACCCCTAGACATCCTAGCCGAACCTCGTGCGACCCCTCTGACGCGAAATCTCAATCATCAGAAAACCCAACTCATCGTATGAATCCCAACTCGGCCAACATGACTCCTCGTGAACTTTCTAGCAAACCCTCCTCATCAAAGCTCAACTCGGCTCGTACGTTGCCGCGAGTGGACCAGAACGATTCAGAGAGAGACCCATCTTCTCGTAGTGAGTCACCTCCTAACCCAGCTCCTGCCTTGACAATTGCTGATCTATAATCTACTATTGACAGCTGCTAGTGGCGAAAACCACTTACATTCTTCGGCTGCTGCTCCTAGACAAAGCGAAGCTTTCAAGCGCCTGGGACAAGCCAGCTTGGTTTCATCCTCCATCTTCAAGTCGGCACCTTCCACCCCAAATCAGCCATCTCGCTCAACAACCAACAACCAGCCATCTACCGTAGCACAGACCGGATCACAAGCAACCCCAGCCTCTCGCTTCCCATTTACCCCACAGCGCGCCCCAGGTACCCAGAGTCAAATGGCGGCTGCTCTGCGAGGTCTCGGAATCGCCTCTCAACTCTCATCGGCTGCAGATACCCATCGTGCCCCACCCACCACGCGTCCTTTGCCCAATCCAACCCCTTCCACTCCCCTCCAAGCCATCCACAAGCCTGGCACCAAGCGTAAAAGTGACGAGAATCTACCCATACCGCCTCGACCGCCTCCTAACCTTCCACCCTCCGCTCCACCTCTTCAAATGCTGAACCAGATGAATCAGAAGGCGCGCCCACCTCCTCGACAGAGCAACGCCTTCAATGTTCTGACACGCAACGCTCTAGTTACATCGTCTCCTTTCAAGTCGTCTGGTTCTGATCCATCAATAAGCAAATCCACCTCCAGTTCCTCAGATAACCTCGACCGTGCCACCTCATCACCACCACCTACATCATTTGTTCCCTCCTCAGAAAGCGATGAAGTGTCTTCTCATGGATCAGACTTAGACCCTGCTTCCTCACCACCCAATTTCAGGGCCGATTTGCCCGTCCGCCCGACCTCACCGCGTCCAGGTGGAAGTACGAACGGAGTGCTCAAGATGCAGAGACTTGGGGGCCCCCGAAGCTTCACACCCCCTCATACTTCACAGTCTTCCGGTTACGTCTCTGAACCCGAAACCTGTGATCCGAATCGACGAGTTCCGTCTGCTCTGAGCTGCCCGAGTAGGCGCCGTGAACGTCGTAAAACTGTAACCTGGGGTGGAGAAGACGTCCTAGAGTTTGAATGGGAAGAAGAATGGCGTCGTACCAGTGCCAACTCCTCTTCAGATTCGCAAATATCAGACTCGAAGCTCGAAGACACATCCGACATCAGTACTGAGTCTGATGTCAGCGAAACCCCTCAAGCGTTGGTCGGCCATCCCAGCCCTGAGCATCAATCACATTCATCTGAATTTTGGCAAGGTCCATCGACCACGACAGAACTGAACGGCCTTGCTTCTCACCACTCCAATGAGCATAACCAACCAACTTACCAGGAAGATGATCACGATGCAATTGACCAATCTAACGGCTCTGTTGTCATTCACGATGGCTCACAAGAACCGCTTCCGCCAGCAGTATCCGGCATTGATACCTCATATACTGCAAACAGTCAATCGAGTGAAATTGATCCGGTTGATCAGATGGTCGACGAACTGCTTACATCTCCTGACTTAGCCGGACTTGTCAATGCCCAAGCAGGTCACACTCGGCCGACCGCCTCTCTTGTGCATGGCCAAGACCGGAATTGCCCACCTGAAAATTTCGGCCCTCCCGAGGAGACTCTTGCAGAAGCAGACAAAGCTGTAATTCAGAAAAACAATGATCTTCCTCAAACCAATCATGTCCAACCGCGTTCTCGTTTCCCCTACGTGAAAGCGGAGAATTCTGACCAACTATCTGAGCGGCCAGAAACTGTCATCTTACCCACGGAGGCTCCTTCCACATCCAATCCTACCCCACTCGAGCAGATTCCTCCCAGTCAAGCAGCCTCATTCCAGCCCATCTCTTTGTCATGCTTAGGTCTCGAAGATAGTCTTTGTAAGTTCAGACAAGATTTATATCTCTATCCTCGTTTATTTACTTCTTCTCTTGCTTTGTAGTTGGCGAAGCTTCCGTAATCTCCTCCATTCTCGAATCATCAACCCTCGATGTGGAAGGTTTGGATGCTATGTCCTTAGCTCCTTCCCAACCAATGCTATCTTCTACACCTCGCGCCTCCTACTCGGATCAACTCCCATCTCCCAATCCTCCCTCACCACAAGCCTGTCACCCAATCAGTACGGCTCAGATAGAAGTTGAAGAAGCCCCATCTGCTCATACCAGCCCTCGACGTCCCTTGCCCAGACCTCCGCCGGCCTCTTCCAATGTTCATACTGCGCACCCTGCCCTTCAAGCTCTCTCAGCGACTACACAATCTGCATACAATCTCCCTGAAGTTCCACACAGCTCGCCATTTCCCTCATCGAACCAGCTGTCTGGCTCAGCTACTGCAGCATGGGTCCGTCCTGCAAGTGAAGCTGTCACCTCCGAGTCTGATACTGGAGGTGAGAGTGGACCTGGCAGTCCAAACGGGAACCGACCTAGGATAACCCGCAAAAGAATCCATGATCGAATTCGGGATCGAGATCGCGCCTCGAAGACCGGAGAAGAGTCTGAGGATATTTCTCTGAGTATACTGTCTCGTGCACCGACTTCTCATTCGGCATCAATCCACAAACTTGGGCTCAATGGCGAGGAAGAAAAACTGGAATTGTCTCAGGATATCACCATGGATTCAGATGAACCGACTCGCTCAACCGTCACCATAGGCCCTCTCAAAGAGATTCAAGCGAGGCCCCCTATGAGGGCCCAACAAGTCAAATTATCTAGTAATGATGATCTGCTTGGGATTCAGGAAGCCCAACTTGAGCCCGGAAACTTGAGTACGATTTCGAGTGGACTCGACAAGCTTGCCCGCGGCTTTCAAGCCTTGGAAGACGGGACAAAGTCTTCTGATTCTTCCCTCTCGCTCATCAAACCAGAAGGCTTGAATGTCACTGAGTCACCCGCGCTGCCCAGCAAAACGGTCATGATCAAGGGCGCTGGCCGTAGGAGACGCAGCGCCTCAACTGGTGGTGCTGATCTAGATGAAACTGGCACAGGCACTGGTGCCAAGGCTGCTGTTAAAGTGAGTTCCGTCCCAACTGGCCCGTTTAGTTATGATTTTCTCTTTTTTGTCTTCAGCTAATATATTTGTTTGAACATCAAATCCGCCATCAGTCAACTCCCATCAAGCGGTATTCTATGGCTGTGGACAAGGAAAATTCGAAGATCACATCCGCCTTACTTCACAACACCATCCAACCTGCAATGTCAAATACTGACTTGCAGGAGCCGCTCAATCGAGTCTTGAATAGAGCCAACAACGCCGTTAGTATTCTGACTAAATCGGGGTTTCTACTAAAAACTTGTATCTCTAATTACTTGTATATTTTGTCCCCACTCAGAGATCGTATCGAGTCTCTGAGCCCGATGAGATTGTGGTCGCTTCCGATCATACAATGACCGCTGGGGTGGCAGGCGATGTAGCGGCAAATCGCAATTGGCGTAAGGTCAGAAAGGTTTCCGATATCAATCAACACGCAGCTCAGTTGAAAGCTTTTTGGGCTCAAAATGGCAATACTAACAAGATTGGACGTGTTTTCATTAAAAGTGAGTTGCAACCCTCTTCATCTTCTGAAACCAAGCATACATTAATCTTTGCGACTCTTCTTAATAAAAGTGTCCAAGTTGGTTTTTCGAGGAGTGCCCTTGTCACAACCCCCGGCCCACTTTCAAGTGGTAATTGATAACGGTCTTCATACGGTTAGGACCCCATTCTACAAGTTGGAGCCTGAAGTTACGATTGGCGTAGAATTCGAGCTTGTTCGAGCCAAGAAGCTGGAGTTCAGTCTTGCCTTCTGTGTTCCGCTGAACGAACCACTCAATGCCCACCTCAAGCCCCCACTTCCTCCCAAGCCTCTCTCTCCACCCCGACCAGTCTCCCAAGTAGTCCCACAATCTGTCCCTCACAGTCCCAAACGGCTATTTGGCTTCTTTGGTGCCTCCTCTAAGCGGAGCTCGAAACATCAACAGCAGATACTACTAGAGAAGCAACAACAGATTCAAATTATGGAGCGCGAAAAGGCTGTTCTGGCTCGCCAGCTGGCTGCTCGGTCAACTCCACATCCCCTTGTTGGCCTACTCGACCGAAATCATGTCTTGGCAACTGCGCTCGTCAACTTTGAGCAATATGCGCACGAGTGCTTAGGTAAATGGAAACATGCGGTTGTTCCTTGCATGTCTGCTTTAGAAGATCCAGTCAAAGCTGAGATGCAGATGAGACGGACATTCACTGGACCAATCGGACAAGTCAGTCTGGAGTTTTTGTCGCTTCCTCCGATCCCTAAGCTGCCGAATGCGACGATTCCGAACTCGGGTTCGGAATGCTTAAAAGGTCTCAAGATAGCTGAATGGTGGCAAGAGGTATGGCACGAAGGTGTTCTCAGTCAGTTGGGCGCTGATTGTCTGGTAAGTCGCTCAGCCATTTCTTTCCCCTCCACAAGTTCTCGTATTAAATCCTAATGCTCGATTTTTTGTTCTAGACCTGGAGAAGAAGGACATTCAAGGCGACTGGCGGATCGCTTTTTGCTTATAACGATATCATGAAGAAGCTGTCTGCAGAGATCCGATTGACTGAAGTGGTTTCTCTCCAAGACTGCGGAAGCGAGAATGTTGATGAGAACGAACAACCGAAACATAGCACGATCAATGACCAAGGAGAGATACTACCACCATTCACCTTCCGACTGGTATTCAAAGACGGCTCCGAGATTTTGTTCCATGCCGACAATCAGACCGAGTTCAAACGTTGGAAAAACGTACTGAAACAACTTTTGGGGAAGATCCAACCACTGCCAGCTTGGGTAAGTCAACTGTCTAGGAGGTTGTTGCGATTATTCTCATCGCTTTCGCAGCACTGACGCTGCTGTTTTTTTTATCGTTGTTGCAACATAGGCCGAATTGCTGCGGTTGCAGATCGCTGCTCGGCAGGCATCATCAGCGGAGGACGAAAAGAGTGAGGAAGAGAGAGCTGGCGGACAGAAGCAATCTGCGAAGCCTGTGGGTCACCGCCAGCCCGGTCGACGCCCCCGTTCGCCGAAGTCTCGTGCGATGGCCAGCAAGCCTCCGTCAAGCTCCTCCCAAGCATCCTCAATCTCCACCCTCACCTCTGCCGCGTCTTCCAGCTATCCCACCAATCTTTCTGATATCACCTCCAACACTTACTCTTCCATGCGGCCCGCATCGGCTCTGATGAGCTCCCAAGCGCCGTCCCAAGCCTCTTCGCAAGCTCCTTCTCATCGGCTCAAGCCGTCCAACATCGGCTCCGATGCTTCTTCATCTCGTCGTCCCCCATCCACCCTCCTCACCTCTTCCCCACGCCCCACACTCTCGGCCATGTCCTCCGTCGGCTCCACCGCCATGTCCTCGGCCGGCTCTGCTGCCTCCTCCGTTCACTCTAGACCCACTTTCGCTTCCGGTTCTTCCGCCAATAATCTTCCTCCATCCTCCAGGCCCATTCAATCTCAAATGAAACGCTCCAAGGGAAACGTCAAACTCGTCTGATTATCTCTGCTTTCGTCTTGTATCCCTCTTCCTTCCTTTCTTTCTATCTTGAGTTTCAGTCCAACTGCTTCTTCTTTCTCTATCTTCCATCTTGTTTTTTTTTTCTCTTGTTCAAAAACAAATAAATGAATAAATTCAAAAGAAAGAAAAAAGGCTACTTTTTTAAGTTTTTTTCTTTTCTTTTCATCATTATCACTTTGGTTGCTTATTTGTATACATCCACACTCTTGTCCACTCGAATGAACAAAGAATAAACAAAACAAAAAACATAATCTTCTCTTGCTCTCATTCATTATCTTCCTAACCAACCTGGTGTCTGTGTTTATATATATATATATATATCTGTTATTTTGTTCTTGTTTTTTTTTTTGCTAGTACAGCCAAACCGAGAAAGCTTGCGGTCTCGGTTGGCAGAAGATTTAAAAAAAAAAAAAAACCAGTCGGAATCTTTGGAAGATTACACACCCTGTATGCCTATTCAAATACAGCGGTTACCTGAGTGTGAAGTCCCTATCTTTTTTCTACCTCTTTTCCAGGTCATGAGAGTAAGACCATCGGAATCCTGAGGGGGAGTTTAGTCTCACCAGCCCATGACCTGGATGTCACCCATGCCCCTCCTGCCCATCGAGCTGGCTGGTCGGTCCCTGTCGGTGCTACCAGCAGGTATTTTACAACCTGTACACTTTCTGTATTCTTCCAAAGAGTTCCGACTGCAGTCGGGATTTTTTTTTTTTTTTGAATTTTCTGCCAACCGAGACCGCAAGCTTTCTCGGTTTGGCTGTAAAAGAGTTGTATACCTGATTTCTTTTGGTTTCTCTCTCTCTTCTCTTCACCACCATCAAATTAATAGATCCATTTTATTTCAACATCTTTCTGTTTTCGCTTGTCCATTTTGTTTTCTCGTGTCGAATTTTTATCTACTTATTTGCTTATTAAATGAACCTACATAATATTAGTGATTTGGGGATGCTTCTTTTGTGAGCCTTGAGAGAGGCCATGTGGGCAGATGCATGTCGTTCAGCTAGCTCAGAGATACAGGTTCCTGAGCGGATCATGTGTCATCAGTGACCTCTTCACTCTGCGAAAGCAGGAGATTGATCCAAACTATGTACACTGGGGCAAAAGCTTGACAAACTGCCAAGTTGTTTTTTTGTAGCTTTGTTGAGCTATCATGTGACTTCTAACAGTTTTTATTCTTTCATTGTTCTGGTTTGTAAGAAAGAGCATAGAAAGCGTGAAAAGTAAGAGCAAACTAGCAAAATGGGAAGGTGAAGAAGTTGTTAAGCAGTAGGATCTGTTGACTAATTTTGCAGCTGACACGGAGATCATTCTCGACACCCCATGGCAAGAAAATGGGATCAACTATTGATAACAGACATTGGGCCTTCGTTTGATTACTTCGTTTGCACTAGATGACCGCCGGCCATTATTTTCCACCAGGACAGGCCTTCTTGTATTGCGGGATGGTAAGTGAGTACTGTCCAGGCTCCTGTGAACGGAAGCGTAACATAGGAAGTCGAGTCAACTTAAGATTGAGCACACATCTTTCTTTGGCAGACCCGGTTCAAATTTCGGATGAAAGCACGCACAAATGGATCGGGCAAACCGGGTTGATCTACCTTGCAGCAAGCTTTCGAGTCCGCCGGTTCTTTGTCGTCCGACCTGAACGCACGGACTGCATAAGAATGGTGACGAAGGATGAATGACCGTCAATACATTTTCAGGTCGATCAAGAAGAACAGTTGGCAACTTGATGCAATCTCGACTCTTGCGGTGCCTACATATATAAATACATAGGATCAAGAAAACTTACTGAGCCTTCCGTCCGGTTTGGCATTAGGTTCAAAGTTGATGACGTTGAATGGGCTGAAGCCTTCAGGACATGCAGGGAATGCTGCCTCATAGGCAGCGGGGCCCATGATCATGATGCTGGCGAACAAGATAGATAGATTTCCGAACTGCATCGCGGGTGACAATGAAGATGATTCTGTTGTGGGTTTTTGATGGGGTTTTTAGATGGGGTTTTCTATGTGGGGACCGGTGCTGATTGGTGCACAAGTACTTATACTGATGCGCAGGCTGCTCTGACGCTGGGCGCAATAAAGGCGAGGGGGAGTCTTCGGTAAAAGCAGTGGTAGATTCGGGCGGAGCTGGTCGCATCACGCAGAATGAGTATTACAGCCAAGTTCCTATGAGAGACACTGTACACATGCGATGAAGGTACTGTTAAGAAGGAAACAGAAGTAGGCAGAAGTATTTGAAACTACGAGCCAAGGCAAGGTCATAAAGCGATGCAAAACCGGTCAGCGCCAGTCACGTCACCTGGCTAATAGTGGTGTTCAAGGTGTTGTGATGTGCTCGCGCTGTGTAACACTCCTACGGAGGGACCCCCCTCTCCGGAGTCCGTTGAGAGGCTCGGTTAAGCTAGGGTTGAGCTATGATGGATGGTTTATTTCCAACAGGTTTTATTCTTCCATTGTTCTGGTTTGTAAGAAAGAGTATAGAAAACGCGAAAAGCAAGAGCAGACTAGCAAAATGGAGGCTGAAGTTGTTAAGCAGTAGGGTCTGTTGACTAATTTTGCAGTTGACACGAAGATCATTCTCGACACCCCATGACAAGAAAATCGGATCAACTATTCATAACAGACATTGGGCCTTCGTTTGATTGCTTCGTTTGCACTAGATGACCACCGGCCATTATTTTCCACCAGGACAGGCCTTCTTGTATTGCGGGATGGTAAGTGTGTAGTGTCCAGGCTCCTGTGAACGGAATCGTAACAAAGCCGAGTCAACTTAAGATTGAACACACATCTTTCTTTGGCAGACCCAGTTCGAATTTATGATCAAAACACGCACATATGGACCGGGCAAACCCTTTTGATCTACCTTGCAGCAAGCTTTCGAGTCCACCGGTTCTTTGTCGTCCGACTTGAACGCACGGACTGCATAAGAATGGAGACGAAGGGTGAATGACCGTCAATACATTTTCATGTCGATCACGACTCTTGCGGTGGCCTACATATAAATACATAGGATCAAGAAAACTTACTGAGCCTTCCGTCCGGGTTGGCTTTATGATCAAAGTTGATCACGTAGAATGGGCTGAGGCCTTCAGGACATGGGAATGCTGCCACATAGGCAGCGGGGCCCATGAGCATGATGCTGGCGAACAAGATAGATAGATTTCCGAACTGCATCGCGGGTGACAATGAAGATGATTCTGTTGTGGGTTTTTGATGGGGTTTTCTGTGCGGGAACCAGTGTTGATTGGTGCACAAGTACTTATACTGATGGGTAGGCTGCTGATGCTCTGACGCTGGGCGCAATAAGGCGACAGTGGTAGATTCGGGCGGAGCTGGTCGCATCACGCAGAATAAGTATAACAGCCAAGTTCCTATGAGAGTGCGATGAAGTAGGCAGTATTTGAAACTACGAGCCAAGGCAAGGTCATAAAGCGATGCAAAACCGGTCAGCGCCAGTCACGTCACCTGGCTAATAGTGGTGTTGAAGGTGTTATGATGTGATATGCACAAGTACTCACTCAATGAAGTACAGCCAATCCCCAAAACCTTGCGGCTTTGTGATGGCTCATGTAAAAATTTCCGAAGAATACTTTTTGCGCCACCGACTCTTATGTCGAGCCTAACTAGGCCTCCACGGCGGGAGCGGGAGCGAGCAGCGGAGCTGTCCACGCCAGTGGAGGCCTAAAACAGATGCGGCAATCCCCGCGTGCTGAGTTTTCAAAATTGGGCTTGAAACCCAGTTTTCTGTGCATTTTTCTGCCTATGCTCTTCTTCTTGCACTGTTATCTAATTTACTTGTGGCCCAAGGAGGGTCTGCTTCTTGTACATTCTTCCCTCTGCTCACATTCTTGTGTCATGTTGTGAGTTTTGATGTAGTTATTTTTGAAAATGACAACTTTTCAACTGAAGTCGAGCTTTTTTGGTGTGTGCGAGTTCATCAAACCGCTTATGTCAGCGTAAAAGAAAGCTCAAATGCTGATTTTATAAAATCATTATTAATTACGGTTGCGAGGTGCAACTTCTAAGTTTTGGCCTGATCAATAAGATCAGGCAGGTCTTGAAAAATTTGAGACCAAACATCAAGAAAGTTTTGAGGGAGCATCAGGATTTCAAATCTTGTGATGCTCCCACCAAAACAATTGAAACTCAGCACCTGAGTTTGTCGACCTCTGGCCCAAGTCTCCCCTGCGGGGAGTTCCCTTCGGGAACCGCCTGGCCAGCGCTACGCTGCCAGATGCGCCCGCCGCAGCTGGAGACTTGTGATAAGTTCGCTCTTATGTACAGTTGCGGACGGCAAAACCCGGTTATCGACCCAGCCCAACCGGCCGGAAGGGTGTAACCCGAGGCCAAGCCCCGAGCCCATGCCCCGGGGTTCAGGGATCTGGAATCCTGGATTGCCTTTTGGAATGCCCCAAACCCCAGGGCATGTAAGGGTGGCACCCAAAAGGCACAACCCGGGGTCAGGTGGTTGGGATGGGTCTGGGACACCCCCCAACCCCCCGAAGAATGGAGCCTTGAGAGGCCTTTTGAGATGTTATAATTACACTTTTGGATGTTTTTCGAGCATCATCAGTGCTCCGGTGAGCAAATTGGTGTCTATTCACAAGCCAGGAGAGTGGAGGACTTCCCGTCGGATCTGCGACCCTCGCAGATGTCAATTTAGACCTGAAAAGTCCAGAATTTCGCTGGGAAATCTAGCTTTCAAGGCCTCTAAATCACTTCTGGAAGACCTGCAGATTTGACGGGAAGTTGCCCAGTGGCAAGTGCGTGAGTAGAGTGACAATTGAGCAGGGGGGTGAAGTGACAACTTCCCAACAAGCAATTTAGTGAGTTTCAATCATCAAAAATTGCACAGATGATTGTAAAAGAGCAAGATGGAGTGTCAGGGGTATATTCTAGGCTCACAACCACCCCTCAGCTCAGTGCTTGCATGCAAAAAAAAAACTAAAACCACCCGGGTGGATCGGTGTCCACCCGGTTGGTTTTGGATGTGGGGTCCGGGATGGGCTTGACCCCCCACCCAAAGCCCCAGGTGCCAGCCTTAGGGGCAGAAGGTGCAAGCTTGGAGCCTCATTTTATTCTTGCATGCTTTTCCCTTGTTTGAGGTGATGTATAAGCAGGCATTAATGGCCATAAATTTATTTACTGAGTTTGTGAGAGGCAAACAACAAAAAAAATGTGATACATCATTGGGGTAGCAATTCCTGATCTGCACATCTGGTTGACTAGCAGTGTAGCATCTTCATTGATAAGTAGAACCAGTTTGTGAAAAGACTTTTGCTTGATGAGGCAAAACAAGAGGCCACAGATTTTGCTTTTTAACAATTTGACAGACAGCCATTTCCTCACCATCAGACCCAACTTCTTCTTTGAAGTGGAGCCACATTCAACTTCGATTCAAGGAGTACCTCTTGGTGCAATTTTAGAACCACTGTCATCCACATTGACATAGTCAGCTTCATCATCATCTATTTCAATAACTTTTGGTTGGTTAGAGGATTGCAAAGATGTTGGTTTGGAGGCTTGGGAAGCAAACACAGGAGGGGGGGGGGCACTCCAAGGTCTTGTGCTTCATAAAAATGGGTTGGGTTCAGGTTGAAAAACCTTGCCCATCAACCCAGGGTACATGGCAGGTTGGTTCATATTCTGGAAATGGTTGACCAAACCCAACCCAGCTATGGTGAGCTTGGGTCTGGGTTGGGTCCGGGTCAACCTGGGTCTTTTGGGGATGTGGTGTGTTGATTTTTCATCTCACTGCGGACTCATGCAACTGTAAGAGGTGATCTCTCTTCACTAATCTTACGTCAACGGGCAGATGGCGCAAGGCTAGAGTCCGATTGTTTCTAGAACCAAAGGAAGTCTTTTTTATTTCAAACTAGACGGTCGAGAGAAGAACTCTCAATTGGTACAATCTTTTGAGGGACAAGAAGGGAGGAAACAAGATGAAGAGAACTCCAAAGCCAGAAGTACTCACCTAGACGGTCGAGAGAAGAACTCTGCCGTCTAAGTGAGAGGGACAAGACTAGGCTATATAGACTTAGTAGCTTATGTAATCTGGTCCTCTAGGCCTTGTGAAACCCTTGAGACAAGGGGGGTTTCACAGCAACCTCAATGTACCACGCGCATACCAGTGATGAGAAACGTTGACTGCGGATTCAAGAACCTAGAACCACTTAGGTTGTCTCCATCCTTGAGGAGATAGCCGGCAAGCTCAATCAATCTCCTCCCTTCAACCAACCTAGAAAGAACTTGATCTAACTAACTGCACTCGCTTGACTCCTCAATAATAATTGAATGTCAAGACTTCCGGGATAAAACTTGTAAAGTAAAAAGAAATTGATAATCAATCCTAGCTGACCTGAGTCCTGACCTCTTTCCATTTCCTGTTTCTCTTTTTGTCAGCTGTCAATCTTGCGTAGAGGTCTGGCTGGACAAGATTGGGGGTTGTAATAAATGTCTTACTATGGTAAAGATAAAAAAAACTAAATACAAGAGGAAGGGAAAGATGAAAAGAAGGATAAAAAGTTGTTTCTTTTATTTAACTTGTTTGAATTCTATTGTTCTATAAGAATATGGTTAAGCTGGCACACAAACACCTAGGCCTCTATTCCTAAAGGTAGGAATAGGATGCAATCAGATAGATGTGATTGTGATGATTTTTCATTGGTCAAGAGACTCAATTGGTTTATTAACATCAAACCCAGTTATATTAATTCATTTTATTCTTGATTCATTTTATTATCATTTTTTATAGATTCTATTTCAGTTTGATACTACTAATTCTTTATGAATCTGATGATAGTGTAGAGACATTAACTTGATTGATTAGGGGCTTTCAGTATTTTAGTAAGAATGAAAGGTTATCAGATTCAATGGATGACTTCCTGTCAATATCTGCGGGTCTCCCAGAAGCAATTTAGAGCCTCAAAAGCTAGATTTCCCAGCAAAATTGTAGACCTTTTGGGTCTAAATCAACATCTGCAAGGGTCCCAGATCCGACGGGAAGTCCTCCAATCTCAACCATATCTAATTTAGGAATACTAGTCCAAATGTAATAAAATTCTTAGATAAATAAAGACCTCAAGGGTATATAAATACCATTGCTGAGTTTATCTAAGTAAGTAAAGTCTTACTACTTTTTTGAATGAGTATTTCAAAAATAAGATATAATATTTTGATTGGTTCTCTTCAGATCAGGGAGAAATATTCAATCCAACATGAAGTAGCTTTTATATCCAAGCTGGACATCCATTTTCATGTGAACTCTATAATCAAGCATTGTAATCATACATGAACATAGTTTCTGTTTGTATTGATTCTGGGTTAAATGTTGCTTACTTCACTTACTTTGTATTTCAAACAATCCTGTCAAATTATGTTTCTCATTTATCATTTAACTAAAATTGTTTCATTTCAAATCATTCATTATGCACATTTTCTTCTAATTAACAATCCCAATATTATAATGCATTTTCAACACTGGTTTTGAGACCTTTTGGACACACCAGAGTGTCTCTAAGGTTGACACTTTTTCTCTCTGGCTGTATAGACTGAGTATCCTGATCCCTCATAACTTCACACTTTTTCTCTCTGGCTGCATAGACTGAGTATCCTGATCCCTCATAACTTCTATCACCTGCGCTCTAATCCTAAGTAATTCTTTAAGATTCTGTTTGTTTCTTTTTCTTCTTTTCTGTTTCCTTCTTTTTCTGTTTGTTGTCAAAATAACTGACTGTTTCTCTCATAATTTTCTTGTCTTGATTCTTTTATTCAGTCTTCTACCAACGGTGAAACGATGCGATGCGATGCGATAAATAGCCATGTATCGGTATCGCATCGAAAAAGTGATGCATTGCATCGAAAAAGCAATGCATTGCATCGAAAAAGCAATGCATTGCATCGAAAAAGCGATGCATTGCATCAGTATCGTATCGGAAAGCGATGCAAACCGATGCCACCAAATTATGGTGCATCACATCGCATCACTTTGCCAATGCGATACTGATACACTGTATCAAAGAATTTGATGCAAGCAATGCGATGCGGGGCCCCGCATTGCTCTTGCGATGCGATGCGATAAAGGCCCGATACGATGCGATACCTATGCATGCATCGCATCAGTTTCATCGTTGCTTCTACCACTACTAAAATCCTCATCTTTTCTCTTGGATAGTCATCTTCTCTCTTTGTCTACATTGACTAGTGGTATGCCTTGCCTTCTTTTCCTTTCTCTATTTCTTCTCAATATTTCTCTCTTTCTATGATCTGATTTCTTTTTTCTTTTTTCTTCAGTTCTGGTTTCTGTTTTTAGCAATAAATTCAAATTTCATCATGGTGCACAAGCTACATTTATTTGTCTTTGTACTGTGTTTACAGTATGTATGAGTATCATAACAGGTTTTGTTTCTCAGTGAGATTGAAAAATGGAGGCAAATATTGTGTTTGCAGTATGTATTGTGGTTACAGGCAAATATTGAGTATCAGAGAGGGGAGAGTAAAAAGTAGCATTTTGCCATGTATGTTGTGTTTTTTTTTTTCAGTGATCAACGCTGGGCCACTACGCCAAAAGTAAACAGCCCACTAAAGTTAGCGTAGTGGCAATGGTGGGCCACCTACGCTAAACATAGTGTAGCAAAAAAATGCCACAATTGAGCGTAGCGTTAGCGAAAAACACCACAATTGAGCGTAGCGTTAGCACTTTTCTTCTTTTCTGCGCTAAAATTACGTGCATGGGGAAACCTTTAGTGTTAGCGCGCTGTTAGTGCCACTACGCTGCGCTACAGCGCTTTTAGCAGCAAAAACAGCCCAAAAAATGCTAAAATGTGCTGTAGCGCAGCATAGTGGGCCCTTTTTTGCCGCCCACACATGTAGCGTTAGCGCAGATTTTTGTATCTTTGCTAACACTATGCTACAATGTTGCGTATTTGTGCTACACTACGCTAGACAAACACTACCGTTAGCATAGCTGGCCCAGTGTTGCAGTGAGAGTGAGTGAAAAAAGGGAAGCAAATAGAATATAGTACTTGATTTGATCAAAGTTACATCTTCCTCATTGCCATTTATACCATCATCACTACAGATCCAGTTTTGCTCACACACAAGCACCTCAAGTGTGTTGGGTTTCATTCTTGATCAATAGTCACTCAGGACTCTTCCACCTGTGGAGAAATATGACTCTGATGAAATTGAGTTCATTGGAACCATTGGATTGGTTTAGCCAGTATGGAAAGGGTTGGAAATTTACCCTCATGGGTGCTCCACCAAGAGTGTTGATATTGAATATCTGCTTATATCCATACTGTATGCTTCCACTATAGTTATTCATTATGTCTTGTATTTAGTCCATCAGATCTCCACCCATGGAGCTCTTTCCGCACTGAATACAAACCATATCACTTCTTGTCAGCTCACAGTGTCACAAGACTTCTGTCTGTGAACTTCAGTCCCTGCGACCCCTGTGCCCCTCAACAGGTTATGACCCCATGTCGCTCTAGCTCCACCTATTCCAAGTCACACTCTTCCAACAGTTATCACTGCCCCGAACTCAGCTCCTCAATCCCTCAATTTTTCCACCTAGCAATCAATCTCAGGCTCTCCCCAATACTTAACTTGGTCGACATGCCCTATCAATTGACCCAGAACCCCTCACCGCTCATCCCCTCGGTTCCCCAACTTGACGGAAACTCGGTTGTATTCCCAGCGTGGCGCGCGCGGATCGAAGATGTCCTCGCCATCCAGGGGGTGCTAGATATCGTTCAAGGCAAGGTTCCTCGTCCCAAAGCCGATGCGGCCGACACGAAACCGCTAGTCCGTACCGAGAAAGGATACAATCCGGAGGAATTTCGCACCGATTGGGATACCCTTTCGGATATTGCACGGTCTAGAGATGGGCCCGTCGCATCCGGATATCCGTTCGGATTCGGATATCCGCTCGCGTTTTCAGTGGAATCAGACATCCGCATCCGCATCCGCATCCTCCAGCGGATACCCGCTGGCGCTGGCGGGTATCCGCGCGGATATCCGCGGATATCCGGCCCTTAAATGACCCCTAGGGTGCAAAATGAATGTTACGTGGGGAAATTTCAGATTTGGGGGGCTGCATAAACACCAATTTTGAAGTCCTGGTAGCCTGCAAGCCTTCAATTTTTTTTTTTTCTTCCTTTGCTGCTTGCACTGCCAAAAAATAGTTTTAATTTTTTGTTTTGTTTTTTAATATATATATATTTCCTTTTCATTTATTTATTTATTTATTTATTTTTTCTTTTTGTTTTTCTCTATTTTTTTTTTCTTTTGTTGCTCACAGCCTGTGACACTCCCAAAAAAATGGAAAAAATAAAAACAATTTTTTCTTTGCGATTTTTTTTGTTGCTTAAGTTGCAGCCAACTCGTGTATGACTTGTATTTTTGAGGTGAACCAGTAAGAGTGACAGAAAGCAAGGAAAGAAAGAGAATCAAAAAAATTTTAACCCGTGTATGACATTTGTATTTTTGAGGTGAACCAGTGAACTGTGAGAGTGACAGAAAGAGATTGAGAGGAGCAAAGAAAGAGAATGGAAATTTTTTTGTTGCTTGCAGCTAACTCGTGTATGACATTTGTATCTTTGACGTGAACCAGTGAGAGTGACAGAAAGAGATTGAGACTTGAGAGAAGGAAAGAAAGAGAATGGAGAAATAAACTAAAATGAAACTAATATTTAATCAATCAATGACGACAGCAACGGTTTGCGTGCCACGAGCGCTTGGAGTTTGACTCGCACCAGCGCTTTGACTCCCACCAGTCCTCTTCGCCTTAGTCCTAGCTTCGTTCTTCTTTTTTTCCATGTATTCGTGGAGCGCCAGAGGTTTGATCTACGAGGATGAGGAACAGGTGGGCCGTGGATCGGCCGCCGAGAAGGACATGGGTATATCCCAGGGTCCAGCAGCCGAGTGGGGCCGCAGCTGTGGGCTGCGCTACGCAGCCCACAGCCGCGGCCACAGGCACCTATATATGATCGGGTATCCCAAGGGATACCCGGATATCCGCCAAGATTTTGGGCGGAAAATGACATCCGCACTCGAATCCGCACCCGCTGGCGGGTATCCGTTGGCCCTGGTGGGTATCCGCCAGGGGATAACGGATATCCGTGACGGATTATCCGCGACCATCTCTAGCACGGTCAACGATCAAACTGACCTTATCTGTTGATCTATCTATCCGTTACCGAGACATTAAGCCGGCAAGCAAACTCTACGACCAAATTTGCGAGGCCTATGAAAAGAACACTCGAGCTCGCCGACTCATGCTCGAGGATGCATTCTGGACCGCCAAGCACGATCCAAACGTTCCAATAGCAAAATGGATTGCGCGGGTGCGAAGCGCGGCGTCTGATCTCACTAGCGTGAAATTGACTCCTCACAATCAGCAAATCTGTGATCGACTACTTCGCGGACTTGACGACTCGTGGAAGCCGATCCGAGATCACTTAGTGTACTCACCCAATGAGGTCTCTTTGGACGACGCCATCGGGGCCCTAGAGTCGCACGAGGTCTCCACCCAGGTTCCAACTGATCACTATGACGCCTCAGCAGCTACGACAAAAGCAAAACCGAGGCTCGGATGCTGGAACTGTGGCCAGAAGGGCCATCATTCTTCCAAATGCCCTAACCCCTCCCTGAAGAAGAAGTCGGGTGCTCAAGCGTCCTCAGCTGAAGCTCGTAGTCTCATATGCGACCCTTGGCAATTACTCCGACGGTGACGAAGATGACGACGGCAGCTATGACGATGATGGCTGTGACGTCGTTTGGGGCTAAAGAATGAACTCAAGACAACATTCTATTTGTGATGAACACAACTCCGGTGCAAGTCGATGGTCAATTCTACGAGCGCGTTTGTAATTTTTGGATAAATATTCACTGTCGTGGTGTTTCCCTGTCCCTTACTACCTCTGGATCTCTGGCCTGATTCTATTTCCTTTTCTGTTCCCGCTTGAGATTTTTTTTACTCCACTAATTCCGCATACTATTAGTGTTGAAATTTTTTTATCTCATTTATCTTATCACAACTATAGTTTTCAGCAAGGGGGTGTGTTGATATTGAATATCTGCTTATATCCATACTGTATGCTTCCACTATAGTTATTCATTATGTCTTGTATTTAGTCCATCAGATCTCCACCCATGGAGCTCTTTCCGCACTGAATACAAACCATATCACTTCTTGTCAGCTCACAGTGTCACAAGACTTCTGTCTGTGAACTTCAGTCCCTGCGACCCCTGTGCCCCTCAACAAAGAGAAGACTGAGAATGCCTGAGAGTTGCTAAGAACTGAAGGCTCTTGGTGGTAAAGGTCAAGCTCTGCAGTTGTTGAAACAATGTGGGTTGCCTTCTTTGCTGCAAGGTACTTTTTGTAGTGCATGTTGTCATTGTCTTCAACAGTTTGGGAGTTTCCAATATTGGATGATTTCCCTTCAGTATAAAGTGACTTTTGAGGATTGTTGGAACAGTTTTTGTTACTAATCACCTGGTTAACCCAGGATGAGAGATTGGATTTTATTTCCATGGCACAAGGCTAGTTGCGGATAATCCTCTGTGGATATCCGTTATCTGCTGGCAGATACCCGCCAGGGGGTGTGGATTTGGGTGTGGATGGCCCCTTTTCCCCCAAATCCTGGCGGATATCCAGGTATCCCCAGGGATACCCAGTGCCAAGAGAGGCCACACCGCTGTGGAACTACTCTTGGGATGAATAGAGCTTGAGAAGGATGAGTGCTTTATTGGGCTGCCTCTCTGATAACAAGAAAATATAAGAGTATGGACTCTTAAGGAAAAAGGTGTGGCTGTGGAGATTTCTTGAGGATGGTATGTCTAATATTTCTTATGGTTACTAGTCTAAATAAACTTGTCACAAATCAAGGTATCCCAAATGTTGATGGGCAAATACCTGGCTAATAGTGGGTGATCAGTTATCTGAATTTCTGGGGCAGGCTCTGATGTGGAACAAAGGAAGAGGAAAAACAAGGCTCCTTATATACAAAATCTGGGGAGTGGCCAATTTGTGGTTGGAAGATGGATGGAACAAAATGGAACAAAGAATGAACAAGGAAGAAAATTGAACTATGAACAATGTGGCCTAATTTAGTGTGGCACTAAGATAATATAAGACTAGACTGAAACCAAAGAAAGAGCCAAGCTAAGATAAGGCAATGAATTCATTCTGAAACAGAGAGAGGCTTGGATAATCTTATCAAGGGGAAGAGGTGGGGGTAATTATTTCACCCAGATGGGGATTGAACAGACAATGGGAAGAAAGGGCCAAAAGAGGGCTAGTATGAAACATGGCTGTTGAGTGGTAATTCTTGGCATAAGGTGGAAGGAGATAAGAGATAAGGAATATATTTTAGAGGGGTTTGAGGTTATATTGGGAAAGGGTACTAGTGTGTAATTGGTGTGTGAGCTAACTCTTATCAAGAGTGAACTAGGAATTTGGCCAAGGGTTTCATTTGAGGAGTTTCAGAGGTGTGGAAGATGTCTTTACCTATGAGGGGGTACTTGTGAGGGTTATTGGTTTGTTGCCTTTGTTTGAGGGCCTGGGGAAACTCTTGAGGGTCTTGGGTCTGTGATTCTTGTGTGATATGTAGTCTTGCTGTGCCTTGAGGTTCAGGATTGGCTTACCACATCCACCCCCAAATTAGATGATGTCCCCATCATCCAAGAAAAGAGAAAAAAAAGAAAGACAATCCTGATAAAAATGAAAATGTATCCTAGACAGAGAAACAGGTCATGACTGGGGAAATTCATAATTGGAAATAGTGCCAAAAAGAGGAAAGAAACAAAAAAAATCTATGGTTTGTATATGTAGAGAAATTCTTTTTGTACTTTTATCTTATGTAATGATTTTTTTTTAAAAATTTTAGTTCATTTTGATTCATAAATTACTCAAGAGAGGTTTGGAAATATGCATTCTTCATGTAGTCCAGGAAACAAGGTATTTGACTGATGTTGGAAGTAAAGACTATGCAACTGTGAAGCTGAGATTGCAGAAATCTGGGGTTCAACCATCCCCAAATTAGAGATGGAGAGGGTCTTGGATTATCTAGTATAGGGAGGTGAGGAATATCTTTTTTTTATTTTTGGAGAGGGAGAAAATTTCTTGGACAAATAGAAAAGGGTGTCCATCAAATTTTGAAGTTTCAAGGGGTGATTCAGGATTCAACACAATTGAAACAGATTTTTCTTCAGGATTTATCTTTCCTTCCTCCTCTCTCTCTTTTTTTTTTTTTTTTTTTTTTTTTGACTAATATAGCATGCTACATTACCTTTTTTCTTGTTTCATTCTAGAGGCTTTCATTCCTTTTGCTTGTGTTTTGCTTTGATATTCAGGGGATGTGTGTACTGTACTACTACTAGTGCCACTAGGTGCTAGTACCTGCAAGAGAAGAGTTGAGTTTCAGTTGAAACATATGACCAAGCCTAGATCTTGCCTTATCAGACATGGCTAAAGCTTTTTGGAAAAGGAGTCATGTAAAGTAATTGGATAGAGCGGGTATGTAGGCAGAGGGTGTATTGAAGCAGGCAAGCTAGTATGTAGATTTGCTATCCAGCTCAATACATGATCTGAATGAACTTGGTTTGTCAGCTCCTAGAGATCCTTGGTTTTGGTCTATCAACGTTGTGGCAGGTGCCAATACAAGTTAGAAGCCTCGCTGTTCCATACACCTGGAAGATAGATCTCCTCTGGTAGGATTGGTCAATCTCTGAAACTATCACTCGCTTTTCCGGTAGTAACACGGAATGCTTGGCTTTTATTTTATAAATTGATATGTTCCAGGTACAGACCTGCCCTTTGATTAATCTTTCTTCCCTGGCGAAATGGAAGCCTTGCCCAATCCCTATGTCACACAAGTCACCAAACGTTTTTGTGCCAGTTTTGATGATCACTTTCTGTGCTATACAACTCTGACATCGCCTGTTGGACCTCTGAGAGCTGCTAGATGGAAAGGTCGATTGTTTCTTGTGGAGTTCTCTTGATCTCATATCCGAACACTTCAAAACCCCAGTAAGTTTCATTAATCTTACTTCGCTTCGGATGTCTGTTAATGAAACCAACGGGTTGTTTGGTATTTTTCTTGCTTTTTTCTTAAAGCGATCTAAAGATACTGTAGATTCTGGTTTCCTTTTATCAATCCGAGCTTGGCAAGGCACTTCTGCATTGCTTATCGAAAGAGCTGAGCAATTTCTTTCCTTGGTCCTTGACTGAACTCTAACCTGTTCCTCCTTTGGCCTGTAATTCAAGAGGATCAATTGATTGCTAAAATTTCGTGTCTGATCCTTCAAGCGATCTAAAACCACTTCAGCTATTGTCCTGCTTGTACCTTTCCGACTGCAATCACAACTTTTCAGATTGTATTTTTGCAAGATCGGTCGCTTTCTTTTCTTGCTTCCCTGGCCCATCCAGCGCGAACAGTTGCTGATCAACATCTTCTCCCACTTTCTGCTAGCATCCCAAGCCAAACAAGAGAAGCTCAGCGAAGCAAAAGTGGTCGCTCCAGCGGTTATATTCCAGTACTTCCTGTTTATAGTAATGTTTTGTACTAAGTGGTTTTCTGACACTGTAAGAATTTTTTTATATCCTCTTAAGCCAATTTTTTTCTTCCTTTTCTTTCTCACTTTAGATAGATTCTGGCCAACTGGGGTGTGAAGAAACTGAAAATTTGAATGCTTCATCCAAAGGAACAATGTGAACTGTAAGCCATTTTTGCTGAATTCTAGTGAGGGACTTTCTAAAAACACAGATTTGGAGTTCTTCTTCATGCTGATTTCTTTGATCCTTATATTTCTGAAATTTGCAGGCTTTCTGTTTCCAGTATTTTCAGAGGTAGTAAGAGGAGTTTTGAAATAAGGGTGGCTGGTATCAGGTGGCTGAAAGGGTGGCAATTTCTGTTGGTGGGAAGGTACTTGGTGATTTTTTGGGAAAAAATATTCTGGGAGAATTATTGTGATGGAGGCTGATTGAAAATTTTTTTCTGTTGTTTTCCCAGGGTCTTTTTCTTTGTTGTAGACTTCTAATATGTTTTTAAGGTTTCTATGAGGATCAAATACTTGACTTGAAGCAATGAAAACTGGTTCCTGGTAGAAAATTTCTTCTTTGGCACCTTTCTGGAGAGGTTCTGCAAAATGGGTCTCCATGGAATTCAATTGTGAATTGGGAATATAATCAACTTCTAGAGATAAGTTAGGTGCAATATTGGAAGTGGGTTTCTCTGGGGTTCCAATTCCTTCAGGTACAAACATTGTTGAGTTTATCTTTGTTATGGGGGACTGAATTGACTGTGCTAAACCCAAGGCTGATACATCCTCTGTTTTTATATTCTGACTCAATTTTTCCTCAATTTTCTCTTCAACCAGGGTTGTCAGGGAGTTTTGCAATTCAGGAATAGGATTAACTGGGGTCTCTTCAACTTGGAATACTAGTAAATTCTCTTCTGGGGAAATGGGTTCTACAGAAAGTTCACTTTCTGAGCCAAGGTATTCTGTTTCAGTATTGCTCCAGGGTTCCAGAGTCTCCAGTGGTTGGCCATTATCAATGAGCTGAGGGGAAAATTCCAAGTTGACTGGTCCTACTGGTAAGTTATCTATATTTTCTGTACATGTTTCACTCTCTGATCCAAGATATACTAATTGATTTCTATCCAAGGGGTCCAACTCCTTGCAAATTTCAAGGATCTGGGGGGGAAATTCCAAGGTTACAGGTGCTACTGGGGAGCAAATTTCTTCAAGCAGGGCACATGGTAAGGATATTTCTGAGGGAATTTTTGCTGAAATGACTTCTGTTTCTGATCCAAATTTTTTTGTCTCTGTGTTGTCCAAGGGGTCCAAGGTTTCCAGGGATTGGCCATTTTCTAAGGTCAGGGGGAAGGCATCCAAGGTTGAAGAAAGTGCTGGAGGGAGATTTTCTGCAAGTGGTGAATGGATTTCTGGGTTACATTCTTCCATGTTGGTGACATTATGATGATTCTGATTGAGTTGGTGAATTTGTTCTTCAGGTTGATGAGGTGCTTCTTGAAGAGGATCCAGTTTATTGAGCTCCCTGTCAACATACTCCAGAATAACACCATAGGATGGTACCTCTGCAATATGGAAATTTGCTCCCAAAATCAAGTGACCATCCCAGATAAGTGGATCAGATATTAACCTTTCCAACTTTAGGCTGAGGGATCTCCAAAGGTAGTTTGAAAATTCATCCATGTGGAAATTGTGACCATTTCTGATGAGGTAGTGAGTGATTGCTTCAAATTGGATTCTGAATAGTTGGAGGTGTTCTAGATTTTTTATTCCTCCCATGCCTATAGTGGAGCTGACCAAACATTGCAAATCCTTTCTAGTATATTCCTCCTTTGTGAAAGGCATTCCATCTTTGGGTCTGTAGATAATGCTCAATTTTTCTGTTCTTTCCAAAAAGTGGATGGGTGTAGGTTTCTTGGGTTCCAGAGGGTGAGTTGGCTGAGTTGGAGTATTCTTTACTGGTCCTGGTGGTCCTGTATCCTTAATTTCTTTCCTGTGGTGGTAAAGGGGTTCTTGAGTTTCCAAATGTTCCAGGTTTTCACTTTCTGAGGGTTGGGGATGTCTCATTGGTCCAGGGTTAAAGGCTGGAGTATGGGCAGGAGGAGGTTGGTAGAATGTGGTTCCAGGGTTATAGTACTGGTGAGGGGGTAGTTGAGGGGGTAAGACTTGTCCTCTCCAAGCAGGGATAACTAAATTGGCCATGTTGATTTTATGGGTAGGTCCAGACATGGAATTTCTGGTTGGTTGGATGGTCATATTGTAAGTTGGGTTGTTAAGTTTTCTACTGTTATAATATTCTTGCTGATAATCCAATGATATTTTGTTGATGCAGATTTACCAATGAAGATTTCTGCAGGGAATGATAAGGTATGAAAATTCTGAATTCTAATAGGGTTGGTAGTGACTAGCTAATCTGTGACTGTATATTTAGCATAGAAACTGTAAGTGGTAGTGACTGAAACCAAAAGATCTGTTGGGCCACTGTTGGGACACCACTTGTGGAACTACTCTTGGGATGAATAGAGCTTGAGAAGGATGAGTGCTTTATTGGGCTGCCTCTCTGATAACAAGAAAATATAAGAGTATGGACTCTTAAGGAAAAAGGTGTGGCTGTGGAGATTTCTTGAGGATGGTATGTCTAATATTTCTTATGGTTACTAGTCTAAATAAACTTGTCACAAATCAAGGTATCCCAAATGTTGATGGGCAAATACCTGGCTAATAGTGGGTGATCAGTTATCTGAATTTCTGGGGCAGGCTCTGATGTGGAACAAAGGAAGAGGAAAAACAAGGCTCCTTATATACAAAATCTGGGGAGTGGCCAATTTGTGGTTGGAAGATGGATGGAACAAAATGGAACAAAGAATGAACAAGGAAGAAAATTGAACTATGAACAATGTGGCCTAATTTAGTGTGGCACTAAGATAATATAAGACTAGACTGAAACCAAAGAAAGAGCCAAGCTAAGATAAGGCAATGAATTCATTCTGAAACAGAGAGAGGCTTGGATAATCTTATCAAGGGGAAGAGGTGGGGGTAATTATTTCACCCAGATGGGGATTGAACAGACAATGGGAAGAAAGGGCCAAAAGAGGGCTAGTATGAAACATGGCTGTTGAGTGGTAATTCTTGGCATAAGGTGGAAGGAGATAAGAGATAAGGAATATATTTTAGAGGGGTTTGAGGTTATATTGGGAAAGGGTACTAGTGTGTAATTGGTGTGTGAGCTAACTCTTATCAAGAGTGAACTAGGAATTTGGCCAAGGGTTTCATTTGAGGAGTTTCAGAGGTGTGGAAGATGTCTTTACCTATGAGGGGGTACTTGTGAGGGTTATTGGTTTGTTGCCTTTGTTTGAGGGCCTGGGGAAACTCTTGAGGGTCTTGGGTCTGTGATTCTTGTGTGATATGTAGTCTTGCTGTGCCTTGAGGTTCAGGATTGGCTTACCACACCGCCACTTGACAGTTATTGTCTCAGCTCCAATCAATAAATTAGCTCCAGGATGGCGAGGAACTGCTTGTGAATCAACTTGGAAGGTCTGGGAAGCTTGCACACTAATGGCAGCTTGGTTGAATAACATATAACATTCTATTGGATCTCTGGACCAACCATTTAACTCTAGGATGGTGTACACTGGATCACAAATCAACTTCAAAGACCGGGAATCCTCTTAGATTGGTGGCAACTGGGACCTTTATATGGATTTTGCTTGGAGCAACAACTTGGATCTAGGAAAGGAGAAAATGATTGTGATTCAACTCTGAAGGACTTGGAAGTCTTGGCCATTGGTGGCAACTTGGTTGAATGAAGGATACAATACTTTCTTGATGACAACAGTAAGAAGAAGCTAGTCGCAAACAAGAGAGAATATAATAGACGAGCTGGGATAAATACCAGCTCCCGGCGGCGTGTCTGAGTCTTTGAAGACCCAGCTCATCAGAAGGGATTCCTTCCGACGATGTGATTAATTTTGGGAATTAATAAAAAAACATGGTTTTTCCGCGCTTACGCGCGGTTTTGCTGCGGCACAGCGCACGTGGTTTCCGCGTTTACACACGGTTTTTTAATTAATTTTTTACCGCTTATTTTTTGAGTTTTTTTGAATTTTTGAAATTGTTTCCTATGTGTTAAAGCATTTAGAATTTAATGGTAAAAACCATTTTCCGTAAAAATGAGTTTTAATTATTAATTTTTTTTTTCACTCATTTCTCAATTAATTGTTTGCATACATGTCTGTACCTTATTTTTTATGTTTTTTTAAGATTTTAAATTTATTTCCTAGGTTTTAGTACGTGTAGAATTTAATGGTAAAATCCAATTTTTATAAAAATGAATGGTTCATTTTTTATAGGGTCTTAGTTAAACGACTCCCAAATATTGGAGTTCCGACTCCCAAATATTTGGGACGTCGAGAGGACTGGCTGCGGGCGGTCCTCTCGACGTTGATCCCCCTATATTTTTTTTTCCCCGAAAATATGGGAGTCGGACCTCCAAAGGGTCCGACTATTTTTGGAGTCGGAACTCCAAAAAAAATAATAAAAAAAAGAAATCCCCCGGGGGGATTTGGGAGTCGTTCCTCCAATAATTGGGAGTCGGAACAACAAAAAACATAATAAATAGAAAACCATCAAAAATAGTAAAAAAACTATAAAATAAAATAAAAATAAATCAAGACATTTAAAAATTCAACCCCACTGAATAAGGGGCCCCTTGAATAAAAGTAAAAATAAAACAGCAAAATGGAGTAAAACAGAACAAAATAAAATAAAACAAAACAATAAAATAAAATAAAAGAAAACAATAAATTAAATAAAATATGGAACACAAGAAAATAAAATACAATAGTATTGTAGTTTAAATGATAAAAAATAACCACATAAATTAGAAAATCAAATGTAATTATGAGATACAAGAATCC